AGCAAATAATTTCATTTCCTGTAATTTAATGCATTATTATGTAAAATCTATAATAGGAAACAAGATACATTTCTAGATTTTAATCAATTCCTTACCTTAAAACTTTGCTGTATTTTACTAAAATTAAAACTATAACATTTTATTGAAAAAATTACAATTTTTAAACTATTTATTACAATAAATAATTTTTATTTTCTACAGTTTACAGTGTTAAGTGAATATCTGCAGTAGAAAACAAGCTATGCAATATACAAGAAGCCTTCACACTCTTATCTGAAATTAAAAGTGCAATATTTATTTTTAAAAATAACTTAAAAATTATTATTTATTAAAAATTTCGAATAATTTAATGCTCTATTAAGCGAACATCTATAACAGGAAACGGGATGAAAGATGTGTATTTATTAAATTGATCAGCATTATTTTTTAATAAAGAGATTTAAATATTTATGACAATTCCCAAATGATGTACAATTTTCATAATTATTTTGTTGAAAATTTCATTTAAACTGTGTATTTTTTTAATAGTTTTATAAAACAACAATATTATTATTTTCTGTTTTTCCCTCCTTCTCCTCCTCCTTCCTGTCTCAATTTTTTTCTTCTTTCCCTGTCGTCTTCTTTGAATTGATTTATTTTTAAATAAAAATCCAACTATTGAAGTTAGAGTAAGCTTCAAATTTAAATGCAAAATAGCATTTTACACTCAGCATTTAGCTTCGTTTGCATTTCAATTCAACTGATCACAAGTAAACGAGAAAATAAGAAAGGTTTAAATAACATTTAAAACCATTCCCCATGTTTTTCTATTTATTATTATTAATTTTTTTTTCTAAATTTACAATATTTTTGAATGTAAATTCGATAGAAAAATGCAAAGAAGAGAGGATAATTAGCGTATTTTTTTTCTTTTTTATTTAAAGAGTTTAGCTCGGTTTATAATGAGATTAACTCTACAAATTAATTTATAATGGGAAAAATAATAAAGAGGATGGAAAATATTTTATTATGTCACGTTCTTTAATCCCGTTAAATTAACGTTGCCTCGCTATTTAAGACGCCATTCATCTATAACCGCGATTAAATTAGCAAAAGTATGAAGTGTAAAACCTAAGATATTATCGAGAATTATAAATACCAAACTCATCAGTTACACCGGCTATTTACGGAGTTAATGTTAATCGAGATCCATATTAAAATTAAATATTAAAATTTCTAAATATAAAATGAATTCTAAGAAATTATATATATGTATGCCCGAATTAAATTTTATTAGCACTTAAAAATTTACTTTTATTAAAATTTATTAATATTATTCGATGGTAATCCCTTATTGTTTAGGTGTCGCCATCTAGTGTCGGGGAAATCAAGCGAACTAAGGGCTTATTTAACCGTCCGAGAAATTGCGAACACGTCCTTGCACTACACTTTATTGCATACGTATGCGGCTATTAAATCGGTTGGCCAAGTGTTCCTCAGTCAACGTAAGAAGACGTACACTGTTGTAATGTCGAACGTTAGTACTTTAACGATCATCTTCCAATGGTTTAATGACTATAGAAAAAGCGTCACTGTGTAAATCTCCCCTTCTCGCCTTTACTGTAGCTATTCCTTCGGGAAGTCTTTCCTTTATACAGTTCAACTAAAGAATGAAACACAAGAAAAGATTTCTATGCAGCAGACGTACACAAGATTTTCTTTTTTTGAAGTCTTTACACCTTTGAAAAAGGAAATCTTTCAGTTCTTAAAGGGCTTAATGCTTCAAGAATCAAATGTTAATGTTAATTTTGTTTTAAATTCGATTTTCGACTATTTTTGACACGCATACAAATTACTACTGAAATACTTGAAACTATTTTAGAAAATTTTGTGAATGCGTAATTATGAAACTTCCGGTGTAGTATGAAAACAGTGTCTTTGTATCTTACATTGTTTGGATGCCTGTATTCGTGAATGAGTAGTGTAATCAAGGAGTGCAAATCTTTGCAAATATATAAATTCAGAAAAAATTTCCCTGTATACGTACAGGGAAAAGATTTAAAATGTAATGAACGCACTTATACGATGTACACACAATATCTAAGAATTTATTCTTCATCCATGACTTTAGTTGGTTGGTTTATTTGGTTACGGCAACGTTATACGAAGGGAAATGCCACTCGGAATTTAGGTATTTACAAATGTGAAGAAAACGCGGAAAACTCCATGTGGTCAGCCCTTTGGCCATGCGCGAACCCACCACTAACTAGTAGTGTTCGGTGGTTTCATCTCGCCACTAGTGAGTCATAGCGCTAGTGGTTACATCCAAAATGGTACTAGGGTGAATATAGGTTTGCTCGTTGTAATTCGTATCCCCCTAAAATTGGGTTCTAGTTACGTTAATGTCGAGAAAGTACTGTACTGTACGTAACCGTATTGAATAAATTCCGCTGTAAAATATTGAAATTAGAAAAATATTCTATCCTCCTCCGTGTTTTAGTTTAGTTTATCCTTTTGGATTTATTTATTTATTTATTTTTCTTTTTCTTTAAAACAATTCTCAGCCGTTTTTATCCTCTTCGTTAAAACTAAGCCTTGCCATAATTCAGTATAATTCAGCTATCTAAACATATGATTTTTCTATTTGATCTTAACATTCAAATTTCTGATATATTCCAGGAGAAATTAACATTTTAGTAAAATGTATCTTAAACAGATCAAAGATTAAGCTTGAAAGACAACAGAAGAAAAAATTACTAGTTTTTAAACTGAATCTTTTATCTGTTTAAGTAATTTAAATGTTATCCGAATTTTAGTTACATTGGCAAAGTGAACTCTGGTTGGTCGTGGGTTCGCGCTTCGTCAACGGGCTGGCCACGTAAAGTTTTTTGATTTTCTTCACGTGTCTTACATAGACACAGAAAACTCCAAGCGGCCTAAATATGACCAGTTCCCATAGGAGGTCCTCCCGGATGGCATCCCCTTCGTATATCGCGCGTGTTGCATTATCTTATCCCACCAATCCCATCTTAAAATCTTAAGGAAGTTGAACGTTAACATTAAACAGAATATGCAAGGACATAAATTTAGATGGCATTGTCATATTGAATTACGACAGGATCTGCTCCTAATGAAGAGGATTCGAGTATAAAAGTACAAAAAAGCTCAAAAAAAGGTTGTTAAAATAAAACATGGGGGAAGGATAAAATGATTAATGTAGGTAACCTAAATCGACAGCCGAATGGCATGGCGGTAAAAAAGTCAGCCTGTCGCTCTGGGAATTTGAAATCGAATTCGAACGAGCAACCACAAATTTTCATGAGAGGTCTTTACCAGATATATCATCCCACGGCTCTTACCATACAACCGTCCCCATTGTGGACAGGCCGAACCCGCGATGGGTTGAAAAAAGTCTCTCTACATCCACAGGACAGAGTGAGAAATGGAAAAAGTTACCTAAATCAAAGAGGACTCGAAAAGCCAATTGCAAATAAATAAACACATATATGTCATAGCAATGACTTATTTGACTATAATCTTTATATTCACATCTACTATTTTCTTTGATTTAAATTCAAAATGCTTTTGATTAAAATCCTTTATTCACTATATGTAAACATCATTATTTTATATATAAATAAACGTAAATATTTACCGAATAAATAAAGCTATTACTGAATTTCATGAATCTGATATACTGTATATGTCAGATTTATGTAACTAAAAGTTAAATAGTTTAAATAAAAAACAATTCCAAATTAATGAAAAAATATATATATATTAACGTGATGAATGAGTTTACAAAGTAGTGACTACTATATTTGGTAAAAGAATTTTCCCTTCAGTTATATTGAATTCTCTCAACACGTAAAGCAGAATACATTAAGTGCTCTACGAAATTCTCATGGTGCTTAGCCGTTATTCATTTTGCATTTTGACAATTCTGACATTTTGACAAATGGATATTATTTTCATTCTATGAAATATTTCCTGAATTAAGTGAAACATTTATATTATATTGGAAATGTATACCTTTATATATTCGACTAGTTAACATAACAGTAAAGAAAACAATGTGCAAATTTGAAGATGATCGTGCAATAATCTGCTATCAAAATGGCGTTTGACCATTTACAGATTTCAGAAAACTAAAATATCTTAAAATAAATAAATAAATAAATAAATAAATTTTCAAAATAATATCTGCATTTTTTCTTGACAACATTTTTCTGGCTTCAAGAAACGATTGCAAATTTTAAAATAAAAAATTTACTGTATTTTTAATTAAAAGCGTTTCCTGAAGCCAAAAATACACGATACTCAAAATGGCGTCCAAACAGGTCGCTATTTTGATTGATGCAGGCGTAGTTTATTGTGTGTCCATAAAATTGTATTCTGTAACTAGATTTTCGTCAAAATTTACTGTAACAATAAAAAATACAATATGCAAATTTGAAAATAATCTCAAAAAACCCATTTTCAAAATGGCGACCAGTTTGATCACGTTTTTAAACTTCAGAAAACTATCTAAAAAGAAAAAATATATAAAAATTGAATAAATTTTAGCGAAAATCTTCTGTAATATGGAAGAGAAACCAAATTCTTGAATAAATAATTTTCATAAAATTAGATGCTAAATTCATTTACATATTTTACTATTTCCAGTATGTAAGAAAATGTAGAAAATGATATTTTATGAAGCGAATAACCTTATTAATCGATTAATGAAGTAATAATTATGCTATACACGTTTTAAGCTTCTTAAAATTTAATCTAGCGTGACATTTATAGAATTGCTGATACGTTGAAGGGATTTATGCTTGCTTAATTGGCATCGGTACGAATGTCACGTGACCCGAAATAGAATCATCGCGAAAATTAATTACCGCATTACATGGATGAAGCGACGTTACTATCGATCAAATCAAAATTATCAAATATTAATTATTGGCTATAACTACATGAAATTATATAGAAAATATTTATATTTTAACTTTTTCGACACGTATAAAAAATACACATGTAACGTTATAAGTGTGGCGCCATCTTTTGATAACCCTTTCAAAACACTTATATATTCATTATAAAAGTTTATTAAACTTTAAAAAATTATTACTTTTCTTAAATATGAATGCTTTAAAAATATAATTAATTAATTATACTGAAGCATTACTTGAGCCTTCTTCTTGTCTTAAATAGTCCTTGAATATATTTATTATCTGTAAAAATGAAAGAATAAAATTAGGAACGTACTTATAACTATAATTTTATTTTAGTTTTAAAAGTAAATTTTAAAAAAATGATTATTTGATTTTATTTAAACAAACTCCATTCCTAGATGGCGGCACATAACAGACCTGCTCATGAGTGTTCTGGGAATTGAAGATCCATTGTCGAATGGCGGCTTTCAGTTCAATCACTCTTAGGTGTTCGAAGTGTTTAACTTCTTCCATTACATTTCTTGAAATTTCTGTATAAATTTGCATATATCTTTCTAAACGTTCTTCAGCCTGTAAAATAAGATTTATGAATTAAATTTGTTTAAACTTATTGTTGCACATCGAAACCATCTTTAATACCTGTTCTCTTATACTCCTGAATTTATTCATTGTAGCAGTACTTTTCTTATTGTTTATGATGTCTACTTCTCTCTGTCTTTTATGTTCTAAGTCTTTTTCTATTTGTTCGATATCTCTACGTGCTTTGATCCTCACGTCAAAAATTGCCTAAAAAATGTAAAAGAGTTTACTGTTACTGTTGTCGTTGTTGGATATTTTGGCAAAACTTCAGTACCAAGCAGTTAAGGCGCCAGTTAGCCCACTGCTCTGAGAAACCAGGATCGAATCCGGGCAAGCAACCCTAGAAATTTTTCATTGGTTGGCCTATCAAGTCCCATATCTCAGCATTTACTTTCACCCATTATGGGCTTGGCCTAACCCACGATGGGCATGGAAATAAAGCCATCTTATTATTTGCTAGATAGAAAGAGTGAAAAATGAAAAATGGATTCAGTAGACCAAAGGATATGAAGAAAGATTAATTCTATTCAATGTCCATTCATTATTGACATGGATTGTAAAGAACTAGTATAGAGCAGTAACATAATTGCTTGAATTTACTTGAATCTTACCACAGCTTGAATAGTAAACTTCATATAATCTCTAATGACATCAGATAACATCACGCATTCCTTTTCTGACTGAGTCTCATAGACACTTTGTAAATCTTTATGACCTTCCGCTATTTTATACAACAAATTTGAAAATTGCTGATCTTCTTCTAAACTGCTAACCACTCTGACTCTTCTTGCTAGGTATCCTATGGCTTCACTTATATCTTTAGAAAATTAAATTAATGTTATCTTCTATAACTCTCATCAATTATATTATAAACTTATCTCTTATTATAAAAATATACATGAACCAATCGATTACATTTCGTTTTATTTAATTTACTTAATAGATGCAAAAATATATTCCTACTTTTCTTTTTAACAGCGAATTCGTGCAGTGCTTCTGAAAATACCTTTAACATGTCTTGATAAGTTTGTAAATGATCAGCTTTTCTTTCGAACCACTAAATTAGATTAAAAATTCTTATTAGTATCAATGAGTAATTAAAAAATATACGAATTATAAATCTCACAGTATCGTCATTATCAACTACAGATAGGAAGAATCCTCTTCCAAGTCCATGGATGGCTGGTCCTACATTATCTCTGTTATGAATATTTCTTATTGTTTTCTTGTAATTTGTTTTGGAGTATAGGAAGAGCTTGAAGAAGACATCATCTCTTAATACCAAATGAGATGCAATACGAAATAGAAATCTTTCTAATGCTGCTCTTCGAATTTCGATAAATTCCATTCGTGATATCTCGGCTTCATTTTTGATCATAACAGATAACATACCTGCAATATAAGTATAATTATTATTTTCTCAGCTATGTGAAGACATTCTTTTCTTATTACGACATGCTATTGATAAAACTACAAAGCTGCGTTGGTATATTGCAATACTACTAACTTCTATCATTGTTGAAAGCCCCAAGTTGCAACTTTCAGGAATTTTGAAAAATACAAAAGATACAAAGTATTTATATGGTCGAAAAGTTACATTAATTTAGTACATTAAAGATTTCAGCATTTAAGTGACGATACGATTACTTAAAATCGAATCTTACCACCAAAATCTTTCTCTGGAGGAGGAGGGATTATACGTCCAACGTGAGCATATTTGTAATGTAATTTTTGATAAAGTAGCATAAAATCGTTAAATCTTCTAGTCACAGAAGTGGTTTGGTTATTATTCACATTTGATGTAGTAGTGATGCGATAAGTGACATAAGAAGTAATAAAAGATCCAATTTTCTGAGGATTGGTTACAGTTATCCTCACAGGATGGTTAAAAGTATTCTATGACACATAATTGAATTTTATTAATAATAATAAAAAAAATCGACATTAAAATTACCATTTCAAGTATAATAATAGTTACTTACAATATCGATTTCGTTAGCAGAAACGTCACCTTCCATAATTTCACAATACTGAAAAGTAGAAACGGCGTAACATCAACAAAAATATATAAATTTAAAACGTCGTTTTAAAGGATTTGAAAGTTAAAATGAGTGTTTATTTATTTAAAAGTTTAAAATAAATAATAAACTACACATTAAGCATAACAAACAGGTAAATAAACATACGCAATAAAGATTTATCGATCATGAAGTACAGTACTTGTATATGATAATATCTAGAGTTCAATGTTTATGATAAGTCACCCTAGCAACTAAAAACAGATAGAATAAAATTTTGTCATTTATTCTATTCTATTTTTTTTATCATTCTGTTGCTTAGTGAAGCTGAACAAATCTCATGCAACAGGATTTCTGATCTCTATTAATTAAACAATACATAGTCACATGATTACGTAGATGTTCCATGTTTAATTATATACTCGCTATTTACTCTTTCATAATAAATAAATAATTTAATTAAATTTTCATACGCTATAGATTAAATATTTAATTTTTATATCTTAAGATATAAGTTCTAGATAGAGGGATAATTTTAAAAGGGGGTGTTATTTATATATCACGAGAAAACGTCATGTTAACTGTCAGTTTGACGTCAAAGTAAAGATGACAAGCAAGTTTAATATATAAAACTTGTATGTTATACCACTTAAAATATTCATTTAATTGTGTACCTAATCGTCATTAAAAACTTTGTATAAAAATATTTTTTGTTTCCTCTTACATTCAAGGACGTCTACTTCAACAGGAAACGAACAGAAAAACGAAAACATATAATAAAAATATAAAATTTATTCTAAAGCAGTGAAGAATATAAAATACTACTTAAAAATTAACCTGTAAATAAGGTGTATACACATTTGACTTACTAAAATGAGCTGTGAAAAGTTATTCTGTACATAAAAAAGACTTAAATAATCACAAAAAACACAATATTTACTTCAATTTTATAAGCAAACTTTACTTTAGAATTATCTTTACCAAAGTTAATAAAGCAAACTTTAATAAGAGGGCAAACTTTTAGTTTGTATAAACAATAAAACGTCGTAGTCACCTGTCAAATATTAACACGTAAGAAGTACAGTAAACATTCTTTAGATACAAACACTTAACAGTACGAAAAGAAATAATAATAATAATAATAATATTAAAGAGAATATAAACTCCTACACCTACCCGTATTAAAGTATACAGATATAGATAGATTTCGGTAACACTATACTTTCATCATGTATCGATCACGTGCTGAAATAAATAATTTAAATTTTATTCAACAGATGGCGACAGGATACGTAAACGTAATTTTATAATTAAAAGCAGGATTTGTATGCACGTGCATGTTTTCCTTAAATGTTAAAACCTCGATATAAACACGATTTGAGTCCAAGTAGATCAAATTAAGGATTATTCCGATAAAGCATACTTTATATTTATTTTACTGTATATTTTATTTTGCATCATTTTCGGGAGTAAATAAGTGTTTTATAAACTTCTTAACATGTTTGCAGGATTGCAAGTGCTATTTTTTTCAAATAATTTATAGCTCATTTCTTCTATCTACGCAGTAAATCATTTTTGCGCATGTGCAGTTCCTGTAAGAAAATTCCAATTACAGATGAGCGCGCGAAATTTAAATATTTGAAATTTTGAAGGTCTAAATCACAATCATCATCAAATATCTTGTAAACAATTGCATATATATATATATATATATATAACTAAATTCAATAATGATCGATAGCGTAGAAAGTTATAAAATTTTATTAAACATGTAATTTTTATTCGTAATTAATTTGATTTCGTACCTCCTACACGAAACATTATGCTAATACGTGTTTTGTGACGTCATGATTGTCACTATTCTCGCGTGCTTGCCTCCTAAAAAGTGTGACGTAATAGACGTTAGTAAGATTTGCTGGCAGAAAAGTACATGCATTTCAAGCTACAAATTTTAGTGTTTATTATTGACACTTAATATGCATAATGCATATATGTGGCATTTTTATATGAATATGCATGCCCATATATCGATTTTAAACGCATATAATTCCGGCTCTTATTTATAATTATATAAAACAATTTTTAAAAAATTGTTATAAATATGAAATTAAATATTTAAATCTAAAAATTTTGTTAAAAGTTGTTAGAATTTTTATTAATTTGTATATTTTAAAAGCTTTTTAAATTTTATGTTGTACATAAAAGTTTAGATAGGAATTTTTGAGATAAATATAAAGCAGATAAAAACTTTTCTGCGCTAAAAATATGCACTGAAAATACACGTAAACATTTTTAAAAATTAAATTGGCTGTTGATTATCACGCAAATTAAAGAACAGAAAATTTTAATGTTAATTAGTTTGTTAGAGCAAAACATTATTTGCTTTATAAACTAATTATTGGCAAAGATGTAAAAATTATTAAATTAAAAACATCTATTGATAGAATTTTCCCTTTAAAAGTATTTTTTGTTTAAAAAAGTTACAAGGAAAAATATAAGAAAAAAAGTGAATTTATATTCTCTTTTATAGTGAAAAAAATTTTCATTAATAAAGTAAATATTTTTAAAAATGTGATCTTGATAATCAATTAATTATAGAAAAATTATAGTAAAATTTATAGATATTTATTTATATCACACCCACTAGATGGCAGCAGAAGATTTGAGTAATGAACACTTAAAATTCAATATGTCTTTTACGACTTGAATTTATTTTATGATAATTTAAAAAAATTTTACAGATAATTAATCTACAAATACTTTTGAGAAAGTATAAGAAAATTTTTCGATAAATTAAACGGAAGAATTTAAAATTAAATATCACACACCAACAACAACGCAGCTGAATAAACTCTTCCTATATATACTTTTGAAGAAGCTTATAACGGATTATTTTTTGTAGAATTTAATAAGAAATTGTGTTAATTTCACCATTTATTTTTTATTAAATAAATAAATCATATTTTTTTTCTTGCAAAAGTTTGCAAAGTTTTATAAACGTTTGCATCATTCACCGTTAGAGGACACCTCCAGAGGAAAGGGTAATGCAGCTCTTTCAGTAGCAGTAGGATTGCTAAGATACAACCTCCTCCGATCTCTTCTCCTTTATCAGGTAAGATCTCCATCTTCCTATATACAAATTAAGACAAACAAAGTATAAAAGAGAATTTTTCAACCGTTTAAAATTGAAAAAAAATTTTTTTACTATTAAAAAAATTGTATATACACTTCTTCGTTTCGTGTTAACGCTTTGGTGTTATAATATTAAGATTATTTTATTTTCTAATATTGTTTACGCGATAAATAATTCATTAGACAGGATATTAATCGCCAGAATGATAATGTGATTGATATTTTCCTTCCTTAATATCTGGCGGAACTGTTTTAATGCTATTAACGTCAATCAAGTTGTGTTAACCTAAATTCAACTTATAAAATTTTGTTAGGGATGATGATAATGATGATTATCTTCGTTTATATTTATAAAAATGTATATTAAATTTATGAAAATATCTTCATGTCAATAATTATTATAAGTTTACAAGTATGAAAATATGTTTTATTAAATATATTGAATGATGGAAAATTGCTGAAAACTCAGAAAAAAAAAACTTAAAACTTTTATAATTTAATATATTTTGAAAAAAATTAGAACTTAATTTATCAATTTTTGATGTAGAATTTTATATTATTTATATACAAAGATGATGAAAAGTTTATCTTCCAGGATAAGGGATATTTTTATCAATTTTCCTTTTGTTAAATTCATAGCTATCTTATATTATTTTATGCTGTTAATGACGAAGAGTAATCAATTAACTTGATTTTATAGAAACTGAGTGAATTATTTTAGATCTTCTTTCAATTTTCGTAAAAAGACTCAACGTCTCAATAGACTATCTTTCCTAATTGTCATTACATAAAACATGGGCACAGAATAAAGTTTATAACTGCACAAAACTACTTACATTTATAGAAATTTTAGGATAAAAAATTGAAGTGAGAAGAAGATAAGCAGATTTATATTTAATTTGCTGTCAGCCAATCCAATTTTTATCTTAACAATTCTGACAAGAGATGGACAGAGGTTGTTAACTGAATGTGGTTAGAACGGATCTAGGGAATTACTTACCTTCATAAGTAATCTATTTTTAGAATTAATAATAGAATTTTTTTTATAATTTACTGAATTACAAATAGCTAATATTCTATAATATAATATTATATAAATAAATATTAATATAAATTTAGAATAGGACGGTTTCAAAGGCAATTTATAAAGATAAGATCGTTTTATTCTCGCTTATTATTTAGAAAAAATAAACTTATATTCTAAAATAGACTAAAATCCTGTAATTTATAAATTAGTAAATATTGACTATTCTTATTAATATTAAATTATATGTGTGTTTAAGTAATTTTCTTAATTTAACAGAGTTAAAACTTTAAAAAATGATATAAATTATCTTGAATAAATTTAGAAGAAAAATATAAAGTATATATTCTAAATATTTAAATATTAAAAGTTAGAGCAATAAATACATAACAACTTTTAAGATAAAGATAAAAATAGAACTATATGCAAATGCTGTGACATGTTATTTTATAAGCAAAATTTATTTTCAACAAGTTATAAATGCAAGAAAAAATGAAAATAAAAGAAATATTCACAATAATGGTTTTTAAACAGAATTTATTTATTGTTTTTATACTTTTAAGCTCGTAAAATATATAACTTTTTATGTATATTTATATTTTATTCACTATCTTTACATGAAAGCAGTAAGTAAAGTCATATAGGCTAACTCTTCTCAGAAAAAATAATTTTTATATTTTTCTAACTACTTTTGAGCTTGTAAACATTTTTTTACATAAAATTATAAAACATTATCTCGAGTAAATTCAATACAAAATATTTTTTTGCTCCAAATTCTTTGTTTTTTTCCTGTAGATATTATGTATCAGTAGAATAATCTGAGTGATTATCGCTTAGACAGTGATCAATATATTAAACTTTTACTAGAATTAATTTAACTTAACCAACTCTTATCAGTAGAAGTATTAACCAAATGAAATCAATAGCTTTAATCATGGTAAGCCACGTAAATTTTTTGTTTTAAGGGCTGGCATCATCCTAAAGTACAATATTCTTGGCGAGGAGGATCAATTGAGTATCATACATCTAATTAACCAAAAAAGTTTTTATTTTATACTTTGTATATCGTAATTTTTTAATGCTTTAATCATAATCATTTAGGATGTTTGAAATTATATTTTTTATATTTTTTTTAATTGAATATTTTAATATGTCTGCATTTCTTCAGCTCAAATTTATTTATATTTATCAGAAATTTAATTTTTAATTGAATTTTTTCTTATCAACTGGTGCTTAATTTTTCTGTTCGGTTAATTAATTTCTTTTTGTTAGATTAATAATACTGTATAATGAATTGAATTTTTAATTTCTTCTTCTGTTTTAATGTAGATCCGTTAAAATTAATGAGATACCAAAGAAAAAATATATATATTTATAGTATGAAGTTTTCATTTCTAGATATATCTCTACACTCAAACTAATATGAAGGGTTATCAGCTGGGTTATTTGACAAATAATTTAGTCTTTTATGTAAAAAACATAATATAAAAGTGTTATAAATTAAAGTTTATAATATTAAAAACACGATATATTAATTTTATTTATACATTTTTAAAGCTTTCGAAGAGGGTGTACTCTATCTCAACTTTTCACTCCTGACTAAACTATAAGTTTGTAACTTGCAGAATTATATTTCTTAGATTATAGGTTTAAAATTATATAATAAATTGTATAAATGTATAGAATTACAGGAGACAATACAATATGTTTTCCACGCTTCCTTCAGTTACTTGCTTTTATAAATATCTAACAAATTATTGAATCAAACTATAATATTCAAGTATATATGACGAATAACGATTATAAAATCTATAACATAATCGATATATTTGCCAGATTCATATGTACATACTCAATTGTTTATCTCCATCAATTGCATATCTACGAGTATGTAAGTAGTCAGTTGCATATCTATATGAGATGTCAGCTGCACATTTATATATTAATGATCATACGATATTTTTTTTATCTATGATAAAAACTTTAAAGAAAGTTATTTTAAGAGAAACATTACAATTCATTCAACTTTAAAAATGTTATATATATTGTTTTATATAGCTTCCTGAATTATAAACGAAGCGAACGACTACTAATAAATGTATTTTTTATCTTTATTTTCTTATTGTTGAAGAATTTTTCAAGGATCATTTATTGGTAGATTTCCAAATTCATATTTTATTTTATTTTTTACACCCCCAAAAAATATTTTTACGGCAGCGAGAGCGTTATTGTAATGTATAATTCCGATTATAAATAATATTTAAATTGCTTAATTTAGCAAGCAAAAGAAAGAAAAAACTTATACTTTTTAATGTTAAATATATTCATCAAGCTAAACTTTAATAGTAAATTTATTTTATTTTATTTTATTTTTCTGGATTTCTTCCAACAAAATCAGCTAAAATTATGTTAATCCTCCTTCCGCATCTTGTAAGATTTAAGGTGAATTTACTTTTCTATAGCAAATCTATAGGGAATGCCTCTGAATAGGTTGTTTCTATCCTCTCAGAAATTACATTGAGGTTTACATAGTCCTTTTTTTACTTACTGAATTTTAAACACGCGGTGCTTTACTTAAAAAGTTTTACAAGTTGTAGAAATACAGATGATCAGTAATTTAAAACAAGGTACAGATTTCATTTATTTTATATTTTTTTATATATATATTTTAAGCTTCTTTACATTGAGATAAATTNCCCATATCTCAGCATTTACTTTCACCCATTATGGGCTTGGCCTAACCCACGATGGGCATGGAAATAAAGCCATCTTATTATTTGCTAGATAGAAAGAGTGAAAAATGAAAAATGGATTCAGTAGACCAAAGGATATGAAGAAAGATTAATTCTATTCAATGTCCATTCATTATTGACATGGATTGTAAAGAACTAGTATAGAGCAGTAACATAATTGCTTGAATTTACTTGAATCTTACCACAGCTTGAATAGTAAACTTCATATAATCTCTAATGACATCAGATAACATCACGCATTCCTTTTCTGACTGAGTCTCATAGACACTTTGTAAATCTTTATGACCTTCCGCTATTTTATACAACAAATTTGAAAATTGCTGATCTTCTTCTAAACTGCTAACCACTCTGACTCTTCTTGCTAGGTATCCTATGGCTTCACTTATATCTTTAGAAAATTAAATTAATGTTATCTTCTATAACTCTCATCAATTATATTATAAACTTATCTCTTATTATAAAAATATACATGAACCAATCGATTACATTTCGTTTTATTTAATTTACTTAATAGATGCAAAAATATATTCCTACTTTTCTTTTTAACAGCGAATTCGTGCAGTGCTTCTGAAAATACCTTTAACATGTCTTGATAAGTTTGTAAATGATCAGCTTTTCTTTCGAACCACTAAATTAGATTAAAAATTCTTATTAGTATCAATGAGTAATTAAAAAATATACGAATTATAAATCTCACAGTATCGTCATTATCAACTACAGATAGGAAGAATCCTCTTCCAAGTCCATGGATGGCTGGTCCTACATTATCTCTGTTATGAATATTTCTTATTGTTTTCTTGTAATTTGTTTTGGAGTATAGGAAGAGCTTGAAGAAGACATCATCTCTTAATACCAAATGAGATGCAATACGAAATAGAAATCTTTCTAATGCTGCTCTTCGAATTTCGATAAATTCCATTCGTGATATCTCGGCTTCATTTTTGATCATAACAGATAACATACCTGCAATATAAGTATAATTATTATTTTCTCAGCTATGTGAAGACATTCTTTTCTTATTACGACATGCTATTGATAAAACTACAAAGCTGCGTTGGTATATTGCAATACTACTAACTTCTATCATTGTTGAAAGCCCCAAGTTGCAACTTTCAGGAATTTTGAAAAATACAAAAGATACAAAGTATTTATATGGTCGAAAAGTTACATTAATTTAGTACATTAAAGATTTCAGCATTTAAGTGACGATACGATTACTTAAAATCGAATCTTACCACCAAAATCTTTCTCTGGAGGAGGAGGGATTATACGTCCAACGTGAGCATATTTGTAATGTAATTTTTGATAAAGTAGCATAAAATCGTTAAATCTTCTAGTCACAGAAGTGGTTTGGTTATTATTCACATTTGATGTAGTAGTGATGCGATAAGTGACATAAGAAGTAATAAAAGATCCAATTTTCTGAGGATTGGTTACAGTTATCCTCACAGGATGGTTAAAAGTATTCTATGACACATAATTGAATTTTATTAATAATAATAAAAAAAATCGACATTAAAATTACCATTTCAAGTATAATAATAGTTACTTACAATATCGATTTCGTTAGCAGAAACGTCACCTTCCATAATTTCACAATACTGAAAAGTAGAAACGGCGTAACATCAACAAAAATATATAAATTTAAAACGTCGTTTTAAAGGATTTGAAAGTTAAAATGAGTGTTTATTTATTTAAAAGTTTAAAATAAATAATAAACTACACATTAAGCATAACAAACAGGTAAATAAACATACGCAATAAAGATTTATCGATCATGAAGTACAGTACTTGTATATGATAATATCTAGAGTTCAATGTTTATGATAAGTCACCCTAGCAACTAAAAACAGATAGAATAAAATTTTGTCATTTATTCTATTCTATTTTTTTTATCATTCTGTTGCTTAGTGAAGCTGAACAAATCTCATGCAACAGGATTTCTGATCTCTATTAATTAAACAATACATAGTCACATGATTACGTAGATGTTCCATGTTTAATTATATACTCGCTATTTACTCTTTCATAATAAATAAATAATTTAATTAAATTTTCATACGCTATAGATTAAATATTTAATTTTTATATCTTAAGATATAAGTTCTAGATAGAGGGATAATTTTAAAAGGGGGTGTTATTTATATATCACGAGAAAACGTCATGTTAACTGTCAGTTTGACGTCAAAGTAAAGATGAGAAGCAAGTTTAATATATAAAACTTGTATGTTATACCACTTAAAATATTCATTTAATTGTGTACCTAATCGTCATTAAAAACTTTGTATAAAAATATTTTTTGTTTCCTCTTACATTCAAGGACGTCTACTTCAACAGGAAACGAACAGAAAAACGAAAACATATAATAAAAATATAAAATTTATTCTAAAGCAGTGAAGAATATAAAATACTACTTAAAAATTAACCTGTAAATAAGGTGTATACACATTTGACTTACTAAAATGAGCTGTGAAAAGTTATTCTGTACATAAAAAAGACTTAAATAATCACAAAAAACACAATATTTACTTCAATTTTATAAGCAAACTTTACTTTAGAATTATCTTTACCAAAGTTAATAAAGCAAACTTTAATAAGAGGGCAAACTTTTAGTTTGTATAAACAATAAAACGTCGTAGTCACCTGTCAAATATTAACACGTAAGAAGTACAGTAAACATTCTTTAGATACAAACACTTAACAGTACGAAAAGAAATAATAATAATAATAATAATATTAAAGAGAATATAAACTCCTACACCTACCCGTATTAAAGTATACAGATATAGATAGATTTCGGTAACACTATACTTTCATCATGTATCGATCACGTGCTGAAATAAATAATTTAAATTTTATTCAACAGATGGCGACAGGATACGTAAACGTAATTTTATAATTAAAAGCAGGATTTGTATGCACGTGCATGTTTTCCTTAAATGTTAAAACCTCGATATAAACACGATTTGAGTCCAAGTAGATCAAATTAAGGATTATTCCGATAAAGCATACTTTATATTTATTTTACTGTATATTTTATTTTGCATCATTTTCGGGAGTAAATAAGTGTTTTATAAACTTCTTAACATGTTTGCAGGATTGCAAGTGCTATTTTTTTCAAATAATTTATAGCTCATTTCTTCTATCTACGCAGTAAATCATTTTTGCGCATGTGCAGTTCCTGTAAGAAAATTCCAATTACAGATGAGCGCGCGAAATTTAAATATTTGAAATTTTGAAGGTCTAAATCATCATGTAACATAATAAAAAGAATCATTCTTACAGCACATTAAAATTCATAGATGATGCAATATTTAAATTATCTACGCAGTAAATCATTTTTGCGCATGTGCAGTTCCTGTAAGAAAATTCCAATTACAGATGAGCGCGCGAAATTTAAATATTTGAAATTTAATTCAATAATGATCGATAGCGTAGAAAGTTATAAAATTTTATTAAACATGTAATTTTTATTCGTAATTAATTTGATTTCGTACCTCCTACACGAAACATTATGCTAATACGTGTTTTGTGACGTCATGATTGTCACTATTGTCGCGTGCTTGCCTCCTAAAAAGTGTGACGTAATAGACGTTAGTAAGATTTGCTGGCAGAAAAGTACATGCATTTCAAGCTACAAATTTTAGTGTTTATTATTGACACTTAATATGCATAATGCATATATGTGGCATTTTTATATGAATATGCATGCCCATATATCGATTTTAAACGCATATAATTCCGGCTCTTATTTATAATTATATAAAACAATTTTTAAAAAATTGTTATAAATATGAAATTAAATATTTAAATCTAAAAATTTTGTTAAAAGTTGTTAGAATTTTTATTAATTTGTATATTTTAAAAGCTTTTTAAATTTTATGTTGTACATAAAAGTTTAGATAGGAATTTTTGAGATAAATATAAAGCAGATAAAAACTTTTCTGCGCTAAAAATATGCACTGAAAATACACGTAAACATTTTTAAAAATTAAATTGGCTGTTGATTATCACGCAAATTAAAGAACAGAAAATTTTAATGTTAATTAGTTTGTTAGAGCAAAACATTATTTGCTTTATAAACTAATTATTGGCAAAGATGTAAAAATTATTAAATTAAAAACATCTATTGATAGAATTTTCCCTTTAAAAGTATTTTTTGTTTAAAAAAGTTACAAGGAAAAATATAAGAAAAAAAGTGAATTTATATTCTCTTTTATAGTGAAAAAAATTTTCATTAATAAAGTAAATATTTTTAAAAATGTGATCTTGATAATCAATTAATTATAGAAAAATTATAGTAAAATTTATAGATATTTATTTATATCACACCCACTAGATGGCAGCAGAAGATTTGAGTAATGAACACTTAAAATTCAATATGTCTTTTACGACTTGAATTTATTTTATGATAATTTAAAAAAATTTTACAGATAATTAATCTACAAATACTTTTGAGAAAGTATAAGAAAATTTTTCGATAAATTAAACGGAAGAATTTAAAATTAAATATCACACACCAACAACAACGCAGCTGAATAAACTCTTCCTATATATACTTTTGAAGAAGCTTATAACGGATTATTTTTTGTAGAATTTAATAAGAAATTGTGTTAATTTCACCATTTATTTTTTATTAAATAAATAAATCATATTTTTTTTCTTGCAAAAGTTTGCAAAGTTTTATAAACGTTTGCATCATTCACCGTTAGAGGACACCTCCAGAGGAAAGGGTAATGCAGCTCTTTCAGTAGCAGTAGGATTGCTAAGATACAACCTCCTCCGATCTCTTCTCCTTTATCAGGTAAGATCTCCATCTTCCTATATACAAATTAAGACAAACAAAGTATAAAAGAGAATTTTTCAACCGTTTAAAATTGAAAAAAAATTTTTTTACTATTAAAAAAATTGTATATACACTTCTTCGTTTCGTGTTAACGCTTTGGTGTTATAATATTAAGATTATTTTATTTTCTAATATTGTTTACGCGATAAATAATTCATTAGACAGGATATTAATCGCCAGAATGATAATGTGATTGATATTTTCCTTCCTTAATATCTGGCGGAACTGTTTTAATGCTATTAACGTCAATCAAGTTGTGTTAACCTAAATTCAACTTATAAAATTTTGTTAGGGATGATGATAATGATGATTATCTTCGTTTATATTTATAAAAATGTATATTAAATTTATGAAAATATCTTCATGTCAATAATTATTATAAGTTTACAAGTATGAAAATATGTTTTATTAAATATATTGAATGATGGAAAATTGCTGAAAACTCAGAAAAAAAAAACTTAAAACTTTTATAATTTAATATATTTTGAAAAAAATTAGAACTTAATTTATCAATTTTTGATGTAGAATTTTATATTATTTATATACAAAGATGATGAAAAGTTTATCTTCCAGGATAAGGGATATTTTTATCAATTTTCCTTTTGTTAAATTCATAGCTATCTTATATTATTTTATGCTGTTAATGACGAAGAGTAATCAATTAACTTGATTTTATAGAAACTGAGTGAATTATTTTAGATCTTCTTTCAATTTTCGTAAAAAGACTCAACGTCTCAATAGACTATCTTTCCTAATTGTCATTACATAAAACATGGGCACAGAATAAAGTTTATAACTGCACAAAACTACTTACATTTATAGAAATTTTAGGATAAAAAATTGAAGTGAGAAGAAGATAAGCAGATTTATATTTAATTTGCTGTCAGCCAATCCAATTTTTATCTTAACAATTCTGACAAGAGATGGACAGAGGTTGTTAACTGAATGTGGTTAGAACGGATCTAGGGAATTACTTACCTTCATAAGTAATCTATTTTTAGAATTAATAATAGAATTTTTTTTATAATTTACTGAATTACAAATAGCTAATATTCTATAATATAATATTATATAAATAAATATTAATATAAATTTAGAATAGGACGGTTTCAAAGGCAATTTATAAAGATAAGATCGTTTTATTCTCGCTTATTATTTAGAAAAAATAAACTTATATTCTAAAATAGACTAAAATCCTGTAATTTATAAATTAGTAAATATTGACTATTCTTATTAATATTAAATTATATGTGTGTTTAAGTAATTTTCTTAATTTAACAGAGTTAAAACTTTAAAAAATGATATAAATTATCTTGAATAAATTTAGAAGAAAAATATAAAGTATATATTCTAAATATTTAAATATTAAAAGTTAGAGCAATAAATACATAACAACTTTTAAGATAAAGATAAAAATAGAACTATATGCAAATGCTGTGACATGTTATTTTATAAGCAAAATTTATTTTCAACAAGTTATAAATGCAAGAAAAAATGAAAATAAAAGAAATATTCACAATAATGGTTTTTAAACAGAATTTATTTATTGTTTTTATACTTTTAAGCTCGTAAAATATATAACTTTTTATGTATATTTATATTTTATTCACTATCTTTACATGAAAGCAGTAAGTAAAGTCATATAGGCTAACTCTTCTCAGAAAAAATAATTTTTATATTTTTCTAACTACTTTTGAGCTTGTAAACATTTTTTTACATAAAATTATAAAACATTATCTCGAGTAAATTCAATACAAAATATTTTTTTGCTCCAAATTCTTTGTTTTTTTCCTGTAGATATTATGTATCAGTAGAATAATCTGAGTGATTATCGCTTAGACAGTGATCAATATATTAAACTTTTACTAGAATTAATTTAACTTAACCAACTCTTATCAGTAGAAGTATTAACCAAATGAAATCAATAGCTTTAATCATGGTAAGCCACGTAAATTTTTTGTTTTAAGGGCTGGCATCATCCTAAAGTACAATATTCTTGGCGAGGAGGATCAATTGAGTATCATACATCTAATTAACCAAAAAAGTTTTTATTTTATACTTTGTATATCGTAATTTTTTAATGCTTTAATCATAATCATTTAGGATGTTTGAAATTATATTTTTTATATTTTTTTTAATTGAATATTTTAATATGTCTGCATTTCTTCAGCTCAAATTTATTTATATTTATCAGAAATTTAATTTTTAATTGAATTTTTTCTTATCAACTGGTGCTTAATTTTTCTGTTCGGTTAATTAATTTCTTTTTGTTAGATTAATAATACTGTATAATGAATTGAATTTTTAATTTCTTCTTCTGTTTTAATGTAGATCCGTTAAAATTAATGAGATACCAAAGAAAAAATATATATATTTATAGTATGAAGTTTTCATTTCTAGATATATCTCTACACTCAAACTAATATGAAGGGTTATCAGCTGGGTTATTTGACAAATAATTTAGTCTTTTATGTAAAAAACATAATATAAAAGTGTTATAAATTAAAGTTTATAATATTAAAAACACGATATATTAATTTTATTTATACATTTTTAAAGCTTTCGAAGAGGGTGTACTCTATCTCAACTTTTCACTCCTGACTAAACTATAAGTTTGTAACTTGCAGAATTATATTTCTTAGATTATAGGTTTAAAATTATATAATAAATTGTATAAATGTATAGAATTACAGGAGACAATACAATATGTTTTCCACGCTTCCTTCAGTTACTTGCTTTTATAAATATCTAACAAATTATTGAATCAAACTATAATATTCAAGTATATATGACGAATAACGATTATAAAATCTATAACATAATCGATATATTTGCCAGATTCATATGTACATACTCAATTGTTTATCTCCATCAATTGCATATCTACGAGTATGTAAGTAGTCAGTTGCATATCTATATGAGATGTCAGCTGCACATTTATATATTAATGATCATACGATATTTTTTTTATCTATGATAAAAACTTTAAAGAAAGTTATTTTAAGAGAAACATTACAATTCATTCAACTTTAAAAATGTTATATATATTGTTTTATATAGCTTCCTGAATTATAAACGAAGCGAACGACTACTAATAAATGTATTTTTTATCTTTATTTTCTTATTGTTGAAGAATTTTTCAAGGATCATTTATTGGTAGATTTCCAAATTCATATTTTATTTTATTTTTTACACCCCCAAAAAATATTTTTACGGCAGCGAGAGCGTTATTGTAATGTATAATTCCGATTATAAATAATATTTAAATTGCTTAATTTAGCAAGCAAAAGAAAGAAAAAACTTATACTTTTTAATGTTAAATATATTCATCAAGCTAAACTTTAATAGTAAATTTATTTTATTTTTCTGGATTTCTTCCAACAAAATCAGCTAAAATTATGTTAATCCTCCTTCCGCATCTTGTAAGATTTAAGGTGAATTTACTTTTCTATAGCAAATCTATAGGGAATGCCTCTGAATAGGTTGTTTCTNTTAATGCTAAATATTTAATTGTAATTTTATTACTTGTAATTTTATTAAGGTAAAAAAATATACAGTATAATAAGAGGATGGAGATATTTTATTCAGTGCATACCTCTAGAGATACGAACAGAATGAAAAAAATTTCTTTTTGCAAAATATAGTTTCCAGATTTGTATAGGACGTTTCTTTGAAAGTCAAAAATTCTATAAAATCTTTCAAATCTCTAGAAAGTGAAGCTGCATGAATGAAAAACTGTTTATATTATCTACAGGAGTTGAACTTTGTTATTTTTTTAAATGCATTTTTTAACGTTAGAACAATGCTAACAAACTTAAACATATTTCTTATATAATCTACATATTCTGTATTTATTCGGAAATAAAATTATTAAGGTATAACTTACCAAAAATACATAAAAAATGATGCATTCTAGGTAAATAACAAGAGAGCTATATTGGATATAAAACTAGATTTAGTGATCAGATAAAGTGAAAAATAATGTTTTTAAAAAGATGTTTTTGATATTTATAGAAAAATAAACTCATTTAAAGAAAAAATCTAAATAAAAATAGCTTCTATATCAAAAATTCCAGGAATCAATTGATAGTATCTTGCAACCTCTAGATCAATTTCTGTAATAGTAAATAATAGATTACATTTTTTTCTACAAGTTATAAAAAGAATAACATGCAATATTTAATAAATAATATTTATAATTTTATAATTTATATAAATTTTTAATGCTATTTTCGTTTATTTTCGATTAAAAAAACATAGTGTTTATTAGTGTCCTACCTGAGTATATTATAAGATACATTATAAAAAATTTTAAATTTACAATATTGTAGCTACTACATGAACAATTTTTGAAGTTTTAGCAATAAAAATAATCCATCACTGACTGGAAAGAAAGAAACGATTCTCTACAAAAAAAAAAAAAAATTGCTTTTGTTTCCTTTTGATCAATGGATCCTATCTAACAGATGGTGGGTAGTTGTTTGGCAATGGTTTTATTACTGAAATTTTTTTTTATTTATTTTGTAAATTATTAATATAATCTGTTTAAAAATCATAAAGCAATATCGTTTCCTAAATGATACAATTATATAAAAAGTTGTCATTGAAGAAATTCAATTTTTGTTTAAGTAAAACAGTAGCGTAAAAGAGAGAATATAATTCAACAGATGGGCGGTTTTAAGAGTGAATTATAGCTTCTCTGACATTTAACATCGCACTGCTAACTTCCTAAAAGTAGTAATGTTACTAGATTTGTTCCTTCTGCTCTTCTAGTTGTACTTTGGAAAAGAAAAAGAAAAGAATCGATGTTTCTGGGAATTCTAAATGCTTGTAAAAGTAATTGACGTAGTTGAAGACATGTACCAAGTAAATTTCAGAAATATCTTTAGTTAAACTCTGAAAATTCTTCCTTTGCATTAATATTCTCTGAAGATTTTCGAAGAAAATTAAAGCAAAAGAGCATACGTACACTGTATACACATGTAAAGTCTATATAATAAAAAACTCACAAACTTCGAAAAGCATTTAAAATAATTTCGTTATTATTAAAAACAATGCGAATGTACAGTGCAGTTGATTGTTTACTCTTTATTAATCTAACTCCAATGCGTGCACTCTTATGGTAATAAGAATAAACTTGCATATTCTTTAATTCGGAGTGAAAAATTATTATATAGAATTTATTTAATTATATTTAAAGAATGTTTAACAAATAATAGACTTAATAAAAGTTATGTAAACATACGTATATCATAATTTAAATCTATTTTTTAAATATTATTTTACTGATTACAAAAATATAAAATAATGTATTTTTGGAGAATTTATAGATCTATAAACAGAATTTCTTATAAGAATTTATGATGTTGCATTTGCTTCATATTTTATATTAAGGTTTTATTTACGAATTTGTCTTCAGAAGAATTTATTTTTAAGTTTTAGAATCTTATTTTATGTACGTAAAAATAATACATAAGACAGAAACAAAAATCGATCTTTCCTGAAAGTTGTACAGAAATATAAAATGTCTATTAAATAAATTTTATTTTTTATTTAAACAGCAATAAATAAAGTAAAAATGCGACTTAATTAATTGAAAAATTCGTACAAATTTATATTAATTTAATGAATTATTTTATAGTGAAGACGTTCAAAGTATGACGTACAGTACATGACACTGATTGTATAAAGGAAAAACTGGATTAATTAATACCTCATAAAAAATAGTTTAAAATTATTTTTTTAAGAATTGATTAAAGGTTTATATTGATTTATTTACTTTGTAATTTCTTAAATCTGATAAGGTTTAAATTTAAAATTCGATAATTTATTCTAGAGTAAATTTATTTTTATATATTGATACAAAAGTTTGTGATAAGCAAATAAGAATAAATCAATATTAGAATTTCTTCTTTGATTTTATGGTATCGATCAATTTCACGAGATAAGATCATTATTAAAAGAATTTCTTCTTTTAACTTATAAAATGCATTTAGGACTTGACTTAATAGTTAGGCTTGTTGTTGCACTAAGCTATAACATAAGATAATCCATTTTTCTGTATCAAATAATAATACATGAAAAAGTGTGAGGCTCGGAGTTCCAATTCTGAAGACATAATGCGAGGTCCTAAGCTGCAACCTGTTTAGTTTATGTGCAAATCCGGACCTGAATGAAGTACATAACCTCTGCTTTACGGCAGCTAGTTTTACGATTCCTGCATTTACGACTAATTTAATTTTTGTATTGACTGCGGTATTGAAGTGTCCCAAAAGTCATTTAACTGATGTAAAGCGTAAATTCCTGTAGTTTAAATACTTAATTATACCTTTATAAATGTATTTAAAACAGATAAAAAGTGGTTATCTGACTTTTGGACCAGTCTGTAAGTCATTTAAATGTGATGTTATATAATTAAAACTATTTCTAAGAACATAATCTCAATTTATGTAACTGAGATAATGGAAAAATGACGGTTCGCTTTACGTCGATTTTTCAGAATTCGCTTATGCCACTAAAGCGGGTTTACTGTATAATAACAATGCAATAGAATACGAAAATAAAAATTTTAATTAATTTACTTATAAATTTTTAATTTATAAATGATAAATAGAATTTTTATTTTGTTTTTATTCTATTTTCATAAACTATCTTATAAATCTTTACATAACCTTTCATATTTGTAAATGCAAATTCTCAGGTTAGATTCAAAATTATACTGTTATTACTCAGCATATTCAAATAATGTTTAATCCCGAGTTTAATAATAATTAATTTATACATAATCCTGAGATTATATATAAACTAATTAGTGTATAATTTACTCTTCCACTGCTTATAACCTATTCTTTAACATATTATAAATGGATTGCTCAAATTTACATTTTCCAATATGATTTTTAAATAGATTTTAAATAAACTTTTTTGTTAATACTCAATTAGAAGATAAAAGAAATTAGAGGAAAAGTTTCTAAATTTAACATTATGAAAGGATTTGTACAGTACATTTAAATCCTTCAATAAAGACCGTGATATTTTTGAATGAAAGGATGAAAATTTAAGTGAAACTAAAAGAAAAGTAACGTAAAACATTGATAAATTTGAAAGTATAATTGCATATTTACATTTTTATCTTTACTAAAATAGATTTTAACATTGAGATTTATATAAGCAATGCACATTAATGCAGTAGGATTGGATTAGCTTGATGGAATGAGGCAACTCAACACATGGGCAATCTGCCAAAGGATTTTCTGTGTGAAACTAGTTCCTATTTAGGTGTTTAGACACGCGAAGAAAACTCAGAAAACACGCGACCAGCCTGTTGGTTAGGCACGAACCCAAAAACAGTATTCAAGAGTTTTAGCCACAAAGCCTACTAGTGGGTCCTTGAAACAGAGATAATCAATTTCCTAATTAAAGTATAGGCCTAAATTTAATAAAAAAGTTTGAAATAAATTAAAACAAAATCAACACAAATTCACATGAAAATATTTTCTTTAACAAGGTTTAATTTTATAGAATATATGCGAAGAAAGGAAGATGGAGGAAGCATCAATTTTCTCCAGGAAGTTAACTACTTTCAACACTTCTGACGCCATATTCAATTCATAACTGTGAACAAACTTTGAATTTTAGTAATGACTCTCATTTCTGAAAATTATAATCATTTTTACGATAAATTTTCCAACACTACATCTTCGGAACTGGAATGCACACTAAGAGAAGTCAATCGATCATTTTTTAAAGGTTAGTTTTCTACTCTTTCTATATATCATAAGATTCATAAAACCAAATTCGCAACACATTTAATGGCTAAAATAATTAAATAATAAGCTTATAATGACAAAAATATATTTTTACAACGCTATTTAAAGTTAATTATCTTCGATAAAAATTTTTATGAATTAATTTTTAGATATTTTTATAATTAAATAGTGCCAATTTGAATATTATTAAACATTTTTAAATAATTAAATAATTTAAAATAATTTATAAAAGTTAATAGATTAATTATAATTAATATATAATGTATCTCATTTTATATATAAATAATTTTAATTTTATTTAAGCTTATAAAACTTGATATAAAATAATTTAATTATTAATATATTTTCTATCTTAAATTGCAAATATTCTCTCTTAGATTGTAAATAATATTTGTTATTAAACATAATTATTTATTTATAATTAGATATTCTATTTATTTATGTCTAAAATTAATGTCATTGACTGAAGATTGTTGTAAAGAAATTTTATAGATGATTTTCTCTGCAATTATAGAATAACAATGGCCTTTATTAATTCATCTACAATGTTTAATTATATTTTAATTTAAAAAATCACATGATCTTCGGTCCAGACCAGAAGTTCGTACATAATTCTAAGCTTTTCAAATCCCGTTCTTGATTTCATCTATCTAACTCCGTTCTCGAGATTAACGAAGGACAGACAGAAAGACGGACAACCGTGGAAATATATAGGTCTTCAATTTTGAAAATTGCAGCCCAGAAACTTTCTACAGATAGCTTTATACAGTGGAAAAACCTTTTCTATAGATTCTCCTAAACTTTCTATAGTTGTAGGAAAACAGTAAATGGCCATAAACTATTTACTGTTTTATATGGTTCTATTCTTTACAGTTAAACTTTTTATAAATAATTATAAATATTCCATAATTGTAAAACGACCATTACAGATAATTCTACATTTTTCACACTTGTAAGACACCTTTTCTAAGTGACCCTGATCCATCCATAGCCATAAAAAAACTTTTTGTAGATCATAAATCTTTCATAATTGTAAGGAACCTATTGAAAATAGTTGTATTTCTTCAAAACTACAGTACAACAAACCTTTTGTACTGTACATAGTTGTAATCTTTTCACAGTTATAAAAATAACGTTTTGTACATGACTAAATCTCCCATAAATGTAAGAAACCTGTTGCAGTCGCCATACTTTTAGTTAAAAGAAACCTTTTGTAGACGTGATTCTTTCACAATTATAAAATAACCTATTTTAGACGACGTGCCCCTCCATAGTTATAAATAAAAACGATTATTATTTTTACCATTTTTATACAAATAAAAATCGTTCCTTTAAACTTTTTTACATAATTTTTATTTTCTACTTTTTAGTTTTATATATGGAACACTTGATTTAATATTTAATTGGATAATGGATGAAAATTGAGTTACAAGGTTTTATATAGACAGCACCGCATAGCTACGTGTAGCTCTATCTGTTATTAGATTTTATTTGCAAATTTTAATTTTTCGCTAAGTTTTTTGTTAATTGCTAAAATTATTTACAAAATGTGAAAAAGTATATTGTCATCGGGAATACACATGCATGCAGTTTCAAGTAAATAAAAAATTAGGTAGTGAATAAAAGTTGAATTGCTTTGTTTAGACAGACAGACAAATAAATAAAGAAAATCTTTCATAGGCGATGTGATCCGTCCACAGTTACAATAAATCATTTTAATGTGATCCTGATTCTTCCACGTTTATAAAAATTATTATTTTGATCTCTAAATCTTCCAAAAATGTAATAAATTTTTTTTCAAACGATCTTATATTTTTCACAATTATAAGAAACGTTTTATAAATGCTTGCTCCTAAACTCCCACAGTTGTTAGAAACGTGTTGTATTGATAGATAGTCGTATATCCTCTACAGTTATATAAAAAATCTTTCGCACTTGTAGATGACAACAAAATTACTCGATAGACAACAAGAATTGATTACAACTTAATATGTTTATTATTAATGAAATACTGTATATTATTCTAAACATTGTTTTAATTTGTTCTTTAAAATAAAAATTTATATATTAATTTTTAATGAAATCGCTTCGCGTGGCGTATGCGATGCGACGCGACATCTCTAAATTGTTCGTAATAACCCCTTTATATTATTGCTTTTCATTATAAAATATAAAAAAATACATAAGAATATTTTGATATTTATAAAAAAAATCCTTTAGAGACCGACATTCATTGTAAAATTCTACCGTTTCCGCATTTAAACGCCATAAATTATGTAATTTCTTCTTTAGATCAGCATGATTTTGATTCATATTTAATTTTTTACGTTTATATTCATTAATTTGCAGAGAAATTTTAAAAATGACGCCATTATTTCATAAATTAATGAAAAAATTTATAATTATTGAAGCAAACAGACAAACGTACACCTCTACTGTAGAGAAGTCTATATCATTAAATTTTTAAGTAAATATTTTAAATATTATCTACACTTTTATATTCGAAATCGAAGAAAAATCGCACAATAAGCTTATTGAAAGTAATATAATTTTTTCCCCAAAATGGAAGAGGAAGAAGAAGAAAAATAAAAATAAAAGAAGCGAAAGCTTGTAGAAAGATTTTATAAAGAAATAAGAGGTCAAATGTGATATAGCAAGTCAGAATTTTATAAGAATTGACAAATGGGAAGTAGTAGAAAATAAAAATGTATTGTAGACATCGATATTTTAAGAAAGAGATGCGGACATTTTCTATATAAAATAAATCAAAAACAAAATTAAATTACAATTATAAATAAAAGAAAGTTCAGAAAAAGTATTGAACAAAATTCAAAATAGAAATTTAATACATGTAATTATTTAATGAGCAGTAAGTGAGCAAACATCAATCTCTGACAAACTTTAAAAAATTAAAAAAACTGAGGATGCTCCATAGGGAATAACTATCTTGTTACTAAATAAGCACAAAGAAAGTTTAATATTCTTTCTTAAGATTATAAGCAAAAAAATAAATATTCCATAAAAATAAACCTTACACTTCCATGTTTAATAAGAAAGATAAAACTTTAATTATTTTAAGAAATTTGGATTAATAAAGAAATTATAAGAGTGCACTTTATTATAATTAATTTTAAGAAGGATCTTTTTAACTTATAGCAAAGATTTTTCGAGTGGATCTCTCAGCCATCAATCATTTTATTATATTTTTAATATGGTAAGAGGAGTTGATGAAGATTGATAAGTAGAGGAGAATGAAGAAGAAGGAAAAAAATTTAATCTCAATTAATATATTATAAATTGAAGAAATTAATTATATTAAAGTAGATTATCTGATAAAGAATATACTTTATTAATTAAAAACTCATCAAGAATTTTAATAAGATTTGTTTAGAATATTTGAAAATGAAAACTTTTTGAAATTTTAAGCCCATATTAATCTAATTATTGAAATTTAATCTTTATTTTATAATAAAATATTACTTTTATTTTATTAATCTTTTGTAAATTTTAATGTACATATTAATAATTTAATCTTATTTTAAAATTTAACATCTTACACGAAAAATATTTTTGAAAAAAAAAATTAAAATTTGAAGAGAAAAATATATTTTGTGTTATAACAATAAAAAAAATTAACTTTTCTTCAATACATCTTAAGAACTAAGTGAGAAAAATCGGGATCTGAGTGCGATGATATGTGAAAAACTGTACATTTTTCTATCCAGTTTTCTACAAAATTTTTTATTTTTTTTATTATTTTTTGCAGGGAAAACATTATTTAATATTATTTCTTCTTTGTTAAAATATTTGATTTAGTTACACGACACTTTTCTACTTAGATATCTTCTATTGAATGCCTTTGTATTGCTCTCAGCTGTCAAAATAGTTTGAAGGCATACAGAAAAAAAAACTCTCTCTCTTGGAGTGGGAAGATGAAGATGAATAGATGTCATGGACACGAAGACTTTAATTAAAATGACAACTGTTCGAATGGAAGAGACATAAAAGCAGAAATTCCAATTATTTTCATATAAAAATATATAATTTTTTTTCTTACAAATAACTGTGAATTTGTAAAATGTAAAAATTCGAATTTATATCATTCCAGAGATAGCTTTGCTTAACAAGAAAACTAAAAAAAGTACGTAAAAAATCTTATAAAATCAAGATAAAAAATTGTAAAAGTATTTGTTTAGGCATTAATAGCATGTAAAAATACAAAAGAATTCAGTAGAATAGAAGATGTCTGAAATGTTTATGGATATCAACCTCAACTGCCAAAGCATTGTTTCCGTTTCATCTCCCTCTTTTTATGCTATACTCCATTGAAGGTTACAATGTCTTGGATAGAATTAAGAAAATCTGATATCTGCTTTAGCTCACGAAAATACTTTTTATGAGATAAACAAACGTTAAGCATACTTTTCCAATTACTTTCAATGTAAATTCGAACTTTAGTAATTCTTATGTGTATCAAATATCTTTCTGACGTTCAAGTTTATCAGGTAACTTGTTCAATAAAAATTTGATGGAAAATAAAATATTTATGAAAATATTATTCATTTTATTGTTTAACTTATGATATTTTTAGAGTAAGATAAATGCTTTTCTATGCTAAAGGGACTTCAAATAATTGAATCCATCGTTAAGCTTTTTTCCATGTAAGCATTAAATTGAATTTTCAATGTATAAAAATAGAAAAAAGATGCAACAGTTTCGTGATTGAATTCAAAAAAATAACGTAGAAAGTGGAAAGGATTTCTTCAGAATAACCGAGATGACAAATTGTTTACATTACTATTCTGCAAGGGACGTGTGGAAAGAAGTATTTATTTTTACATTTTTATAAAAAATAGAAGCATCAAAAGTTTAAGCCATACTTCCAACAGCTATTGCTGAATCAATATTTAAGAATAATTAATTTTTTATTAATTTAATTATGGCATATACACGAAAAAATCACTTATAAAACATGAACGATGATTATCAGGATATGAATTCTCTTTGATTCTTATGTGAAATATACAAATAACTCGTTGTAAATATGATTTCCACTTCATAAAGATGTTAATAAATAAAATAAATATGTATAGATCTCGAAATATCTCAATATTTTGGACATAATCTTTATTACAAACACACTAGTAAGAAAATAATCCATTCGAAACTAAGGATTAATTCTATGTTAATAACTCATAAAATTACAGTATAAGTTATATTTAAAAATTACAATAAAACCTGTGTAAAACGGAATCTCACAGTACCGAATTTTTTGCCGGTTTGTCAAGTTACCGTTTTAAACAGGTTCTTTTTTAACATAGAAAAACCTTTTGTTTCGAAGAATTTTTTCCGTTTAGACAGATTTCATTTTCATTCGGATTCCGTTTTAGACAGGTTTTACTGTATGTTTTTATATGTATCTTGGTTAAATATACGCAAATATTAATAAATTTTCACAATTAGTAATTGATATATCGATTTTCTGTACGTTTATGATATAATTATGAAATTACAGGCACATAACATGCATTTTTAAAAATATAGGATGATTAAAAAGTCAGTTAACCGCATGTCATGTCTTCCAATATACAGTAAATTTAGGAATGTAAATCGTAAACTCAGTTTTAAAACAACGCATTTCTTTTACGAAATTGATGGAAACACAATTGAAAAAATATAAGAACAATCGAATCTCCGCCAATAATGGCCATCTCCAAACAACGGACATTTTTTAATTTCCCATAATTGGCCGTCGTTTACAGGTTTGACTTTATGTGACTAGTCTTTGCTTTGGGTAACTGACTTTTGGTCTCTCTTTATATATACACAATACATATATGCATGCATAAATAGATACACCTGTTGGCAGTTAATCGTAGGCATATATAGATATATAGGATGCCTAAAAGTCTGTTAACTGTATTTAATTTCAGTGTTGTATCCTTACTTGTAAATATAAATAGTAAACTACGCCTAACAACAAAGTATTTTTTTGTTATAAAATTGGTGTAAACAATATTTTATAACAGTAATTAAACGTAATTAAAACAGCAATTTAATCTTTACAATGGTTTACTGACTTTTGTGCCACCCTATATTACTCTATACACTTACTGCTATTATGAATTTCAAACATTAATATTTGAATATAAAATAGAAGTAAAAATACAAAAAAAAATCAAACATATAATTCTTAAAATGGATTGTTTCCTTATGGAAATTGCAAAATGATGTATTTGTTGAAGATTTATATCTTGATTGAAAAATATAAACATTATTCTAGATTTATTTTTCATTTGATGCATTATTTCAAACACGTTTGATGAGATTTTTATTTGTTTTTTCTGGGATATTTGTATAGAAAAAAGATGAATACATTACCAGAAGCAATCAAGAAATTCATACGGATCAAAAGCAATTTAAATTTGTGAATAGAATAATTTCCATAATTGGAATAGTTATGTTAAGAATTTACGTAAGGATGAAACGATGCAGAATCTCGCGCTTTTACAACTTTTAATTAATTTTAGAAATTAGATAAATTAATAATTCAATGTCCTGTGTATGTAATATGTAAGAACGTTACAAAACGCTCTTCATTCAAACATTCTTCTGGGTTCAATGTTCAAACGTTCTGATACAGTTAAGCCTTCAAACATTCAAACGTTCAGGGGTACAAAGGTTCGAACGTTCTCTTTCGTTCAAATATTTCAATGTTTGAACAAAGAAACGTTCAGACGTTTAAATTAAATTAAATTAGAGTTTTAAAAAATATATTTAATAACGTAATTAGGAGCAAAAATTTTTGTCATTAGCCTTAAATTTGTTCGCAATGAAGAATTTTAAATAACATAAATACCTTTTAATTGAGTTAGGATTTATAATTATAAAATCATTATTTTAATATAAATTAGTAATTTTCAGGATATATAAACATTATAAAAATGTAATTTGTAAATAATTAATATTTAGAATAAATTAACTGTAATTATTAATTTAAAAATTGGTCGAAATTGTATATCCCGTCTCTAAACCAGCAATGAGTTAATTAACATTCTGGCAAAAAAATTTAAAATAGCGTGTGGCGCCATCTGTTATGATATTTTATTCAAAAACTTTTTATATTATTAATTATTAGAACATAGCAAAAAGCTTCATTTTGAGGGTAGAGACAAGTTTTATAAAAAAAATTGTAAATGCTAATAACAAGAAAAAAGTTGGATTATGATCCCACCGGAGATATGACATGTAACCTCCTCTATCTCCCCAGTCCCTCAACCTTTAACCACCAAAATTTATTAGCATTAATACCTCTAATACATAAACCTCCCTGCAAAATTTTAGAAATTTTCGACAAAAGGAAGGGAAAATTTTGGGGGGTCATGTTTTGACCGATTGCCATACTCACATTTTNTAATTTTGATAAAATTTACAACCTACTCAAGAAAATACAATGACTATTGCATACGTAATCAATATGGCGTCAATATGATGGTATAGTCTTTGAATTAATAAAATTTCGGAAATAAATAAATAAAAATAAGTTTACTCTCGCGCTATATAAAACTATTCTTATAATATTTAAAATTACAATATTTTATTAATTTTATTTACACATTTATTGTTTGTTATAAATATAGAATGTTGGATATTTCAATGTATTATTTTTAATGATATATTTTGAAGTTTAAGCATAGTTTTGTTAATAAATAAATAAATAAATAAATTTCTAGGAGATAAATATAATTAGATGAATGAGAAATTGTAGTAAATTGGATAAAAAAATTTAAATATTTAAATTATTTTAAAATTTGAGAAGAGCAGTAAACTAATTTATCACGACAAATTATTATGTAGAGATTATTCTTATTATTTGTTAGAGTATATTTAATAAACCTATTTAAAATGTTCTGAAATTTAACATTTTGGCCATTTTTTTCTTCTCAGAACTAAATAAAGTGCCATAAAAATAATCCTCGAATTAATTATGTAAATATTGATTTAATAAAGTAAAGTAAATGCATAGTATTAATGCTGTATATTTAAGATATAATAAGAAACTTTAACAAATTCATTGAAGTTGTTTTTTTATTAGTGAGCGTATGATCTTTAACAAAAGTTTAGTAGCTAATTTAATTTTTTAAAAGAAAAATTACAGACCTGTACCGAAACAAACGTAAATATAGAAATAATACTCAAAAAATATGCATAAATAGCACATAAACGGCGCACAAAACACGTGTAAATATCACATAAACATTAAACACAAACACGTAAACAAATAGAAACATAAGCATACACAAACACATTTATACATAATTATAATTAATATTATTATTGAAAGAAATTTCCTTAAAATAATTAACACTAAATTTGATAAATAAATAGTAATTTCTCTCCCGTGCAAACCATTAAAGATATTTTAAAAAATGTTCAATTTTATCCGATTGGCAGTTGAAGTGCATCAATCAGATAGAACTCCTGATAAATCTGTCTTCGTAAATTTATTGAACAGACAGATGCAACTGCAATATTCGATTGTCAGACACTTTCCACTGCAAGAAATTGAATAACATTTATTATAGATCCATGCTTCGAAAATATACTTTTTTTTATTTTCGTGAAGAATTGGCAAAGTTCATTTCGAAAGAAAATATTTTCTTCGTCCTCTCCGCTCATTGCCAACTTTTACACCATTTTTCTTCTCTCCTATCAACTTACCATACGTCTTCAACTTATCAAAAGAATCGTTACATTATATTTTATAGGAGAAAAATAACAAACATTGTATAAAATTTTATTAACCCTCAATTTTTGGATGTTTCTAGACCAACATCATTTCTGTAATGCTACTTGGGACGGACTTTCCTGTTGGCCAGCTACAGCGGCTAATGCTATAAGTACTATATCTTGTTTCCCTGAACTAAATGGAGTTTTATACGATACAACACGTGAGTATACATTAATTACACAAAAATATTAATAATAATCTTTTAATTTAGCTATAAATAACAACGGAATTAAGTTAAGGAGAGTTGCAAAAAAAAAAAAAAAAGATACATCTCCTAGTGATCTAAATCGACAATGGAATCTTTTCATTAATGGAAAAATTCTTGATATAGAGGTAAAAGAGAGTAACTACCATAAAATATTCTCTTATTATGGTGTTGCAGTGATGCAAATTTAGCTGTATAATTCTTTTCTAGTTGATTAAATCATTAAAGAGTTGGTATCATCCATGCTTCTAGAAGAAAGTATGAATGATTAAAATTCAATTGAATATCAGAAAATTCTTCTTTCTTCTAAAAGAAAGTCGAATTTTTTATTGATAATAAACAATTACATTCAGGTTTTCTCCAAAATTTGATCCTAGAAAATCTTATAAAATTATTGGGATGCTTTCTACAAACGTGTTCTTTGCAGAATCAAGACATGAATTCAGATTTAATGTTTACTTTTTTATTTACATTTGGATAAAAGTAAAGCTTTTAAAAAGAATCATAAATCTTTTTTTAAAAGAAAATAAAGCTTTTAAATCATCTTGAAAAATAGATGAAAAGGAAAATTTCTTAATTTAATCTTCCTGTCAAGAGAGAAAATATATAAACCAAAACTTGTAGATTAGAAATGTATTAAACATTTATAAGTGCAACTAATTAAAATAATTTTTATATAAATTTTTATAAATTTAATTTACTTTATATGTTTATCCTGTATATATTTATCAAAATCATGGATATTTTACTATTTCTCTACACAGAAAATGCCAGTAGAGGTTGTTATAGTAATGGAACTTGGGAAGAAAAATCCGACTATTCTAGTTGCATACCTCTCCTGATAGAAGAAGGAATTTTTCAGGTAAGTTTATCATTAAATAATTCATTTTTAACTTATTCTTTAAACATTTATCCTTATTTTCTGTTTGGAAATTGCACTTTATAATCATCCTCTAGAGATCGCATCAAAAGATGAGATAAATGGATGCTGCAGCATCCGAATGATTCGGATGATGATAATTCCACTTCAGCTGGAATAAAATTAAAGAAATCGCTCTCAAGACTTTCTATTATCTCTAGAATTATCTTAATCAACTTCTATATATATTAAAAAAGGGAATAAGCTTTAATTGGATAATATAGAAAAGATTTTTCAATTTGATATTAATGAATCCTCGAAACTTTCATAAATATAACTTATAAAATATATTCTAATTAACAGAAAAGAGATTATTTTGTTTTCTTAATTTTAGTAGATATTTACTTTTTATTTCTTTACATTAATAATATGTTTAGTGAAGTGCTCCTCCTCCTAAAGTAAATATTCACTCATCAGATAAACGCATTTTGGCGTGCAGAGAATTTTAAATTTTCAGCTTGTACTTATCTAAGAAGAACATTAAAGAATAATATCCTGTACATATCAAATATTTATCTACTCCTCCTACTTAATGTTGTTCTAGAGATAAAGTAAAATGTTTAGGAATTTAAGTACCTTTACAAATGTACAATACATTATAATCGAGGTATCTGCATCAGATAAACTGTTAAATCTTTGATGATTTTTCAATTTACTCATTCAAATCTACTATTTAGTAAAACATGGCAAGTTAAAGTATACTTTTACGTGTACAAAATTCATATATTTGTATAAGCATTAAGCAATTTGATAATGAGAAAAGTTACGTAACAGTAAATACGCTCGTAACATCCTTGTACGAAGAACATTCTGAATGCACGAGTTCTTTAAGTGTACTTAATTAAAATCGCGCAAAAAATATTATAATTAATTAATTAACGATTATTTTTAATAATTTAAAGCCTAATTTAATTTTTTAAAAGTTGCAAGTGACTTAATTGTAATCACTTATTCGATGGATTTTTAATTGCTGCTTGATGTTTACGCCATAAAAATCAAGTCAGTTATCACTGGAAGAATTTATTATTTTTTATATTAATTAATTAAGCGTAATAAAATAATTCATTTTTTAATCATTGTTAAGATATATGATTAAATTTTAAACACAATTAAAGTACTGTACCTATCGTTACTCAATAGCTCAAATTTGAGCATTATCATACGTGAAATTATTCCGAATTATTATTTTTTAAATAAAAATATTAAAGTTTTGGCTTTAATTAACAAAATATAATAGAGTTTAGCTTGCTATTTTGTATATTATGAAGTAGTAAAGTCACTACAGTCTACCTCGATTTAGTGTTACCATTTGTTTGTGTCTAATATTGGCACTAAATCGAGTGTAGTGCTAAACATTTTACCAAGCAAAGTAATTTAATGGTAATGACTAAAATAAACGCAAACAAACATAAAAAACAGTAAACCAAAACATATAATCCGTATAGAAAATTACGTCTAACAGTCATAAAATGCTTAATAATAAAGAAAATAAACCTGCCTAAACCGGTCGATTTACACAGATTTTACAATACTACTTTAAAAGTAATAAATTTTTAAGAATTTTAATACAGTGAAACCTCCATTAACAGATCAATGAGGATAAACTGCTGTCTCCATGGTGTCCGCTATTCGGAGGTTGGAGAATTGTAGTTGAAAACTATCATTTAACATTTTTCAATCTCCCTTCCATATCATTAACCATAAAAGACCCATCAAGAGAAGTATCAATCTGCATTTGACTCGACCTCATTATTTATTAAGGAAGATAGTTGTAGTAGCAGATTAAAATGTCTGTTTTACATCATGATAAGGTTCTTAAACATCATTTACAGTTACTAATTTACTATAATTGAAATACATTTTGTTATTTTTAAATGGAAATTGATGTAAATAAACTACAAAAACGTTTTTAAATTGAGGTAAAATCAGTTAAACGTTCTTAATTCGAGGTAAAATGAAATAAATGTTCCTTAATTGAAGTAAAGTGAGAGAAACAAAAAACGTTCTTAAAATGGGGTAAAATGATTTAAACATTTTTAAATTGAGGTAAAATCAAACAAATATTTTTCAATTGAAATAAAATGAGTTAACTAAGCAACAAAGACGTTCTTAAAGTGAGGTAAAAAGAGCTAAACACTTAAATCGAGGTAAAATGAAGCAACATGTCTTGCTTTACCTCGATCTATACAACAAGAAACAATAAACGTTATTAAATTAAGAAAAAAGGGAAAGAAATGAGCTAAAAGCCTTAATTTACATATAAAAAACGTTCACATCTTTACACGCGACATAACTTTTTTTTTTGTTCTTTTATCCACAGTTAATTAATATTTTTAATACATTCCCTAGGCTGAGATCCAAAAGACAGTTTCTGTTATTGATTTTCTAACAAATAATGGATTTTGTTGATGCTCTATACTTTGTCTCCGTGAAAGGATAACAAAAATAGAACAATGATATTGACAATTACCTCACAAAAAGTGAAAAGAGGTGGATTATATTGTTAAATAACTGAAAATGTGGGCCTCGTATCGCCATTTTGATATAAATAAAACAAAGATTTATTTAAATCTAATCAAACTGGGAGGTAAATTTCTTATTTATTCACTTCAGATCAACGATATTTAATTCAAATAATCTCTCTTATGAAGGTGGATTATCGTGTAAGATAAAGAATGGCACACAAAGAGCATCGTTGATCACAGGAGAAATCAATCGATAAAATAATTTATGTTAGAATAAATGTGATATATTTGTAAGAGAAAGTTTATTTATGCCGTTGGCTTCTCCAGGATAATCAATAAAAATAAAATACTATTGTTATATTTATGTACTTAATTATCTTTCAGGGATTGTGGGACGTGAAAGAGGCATCCACTATATATTTTGTAGGTTATAGCATCTCGCTTCTGGCTGTTATTGTAGCTCTTGGGATATTTCTTCACTTTAAGTAAGTAGAATGATGATAGAAGGTTTAATTAATCTTCAAATATATTTAATTTAAGTTATATTAAGGAAGAATAAATGTGTTTGCATCTTCCTTCATTCTTATGCAAATTTTACAGCGTGATATCCGTTGATATTATTGATTTATCAAGTAAAATATTGGATAAATTGTAAATTATTTTCAAGATAATTAAATATAATTTAATTAAAATTCTTCTGAAAGGTAATTGTAATTAAAACNTAATTTAAATATAATTAAATATTAAATTTCATAATTCTTAGGTAACTTGTATCCTCATCTTATTATTAACTTATTTATTGGGAACAAACTTTTTCTGGATGTTCGTAGAGGGTCTATATTTATATATTCTAGCTGTGAAGACATTTTCTATAGAAGTAGTCAGGATACACGTTTACGCATTTATAGGGTGGGGTAAGTATGGTTTTTATTTATCTAGGATAAATAAAATTAACTAAGGATCAAATTATATGTGTAGGATAAGTAAAACTAATTTTTAAGATGATTTTTGTAGTGAGATGCTGGAGATCAGATTTTCATCTTCAGCATCCTGAGCTTATAATCGTCGAGATTATAACTCTTGATTATGAGGTTATAACTTCTGATTTTGTCAAAAATTATGATAAAATGTCTTAAGATAGTTTTTATTGTTAACATTAACTCTAAACTCTCAAAAAGTGTATACAATTCGAACGGATGCTGAGGGATCAAATTCTCATCTTTAGCATCCTGATGCTTCTTATTTACAAGTTCTATAAAAATGATAATAAAATATTTCTTAATGAAGACTGTTATTGCTCTGAAGACTTGATATTATAAAAATTAATAGGAATATTAATTAAAAAAAACGTTAGGAATGGAATCTTGAAAATTTTCTAATCGATTCTTTATAGTAAGATGTTAAATATAGTAATTTTCATCAGAATGATAAAAGTATAAAATTAATTATATTTAAATCTAGCATTTAACTCTTAAAACCATCATTAAAAAGCTTAATGTATGGCCAAAAATATCTTAGAATTAATATAATTTTTTATAACGTTGTTTATTATCATGGAACCTTTCCTGTAGATCGATAAGTAAAATAATAAGAATTAAATAACGCTAAGCAGATAGAAATGTCGTTAAATGTTTGAAGCGTTGTGAAATCGTTTAAGCAGTTAGTTATAAATAATATATTAAAACATATGTAAAAAATACTTCTTAATGGAAACTTGATTGATTTTTGTGGGAATACTTTTTTAGTTTATCTTCTAAATTCTAACATATGGCAACTGGTTGAATAGTTTTCTTTCATTTTCGAGAATAACTCTTGAAATGAAATTGCCAATTATCTCCTCTACAATGGAATCTACACTGGCTAAAACTTTATTTTGTACAATTTATTCTTAAGAAACCATGATAAAATTGATTTAAAATGCCTCTCTCCAATGAAAGAGGACGTAAAAATTTACGAGAAAATCAGGAAAAGTATGACTTGCTATTTGAATGACGTTACAACTTAAAGATTTATTGTCTCTCTTTGGTTATTATATAACACTTTTTAGATAAATTTAGAAAAATTTATAAAATATATGAAATATATATTTATAAAATATATAATGTAAAATTATAATTAATAGGAGAAATGTTAATTTAAACCGCATTAAACTAAAGCATTTTGCATGGCATTTCAACCACGAAGCACAAAATGAATGCTTTACTACCAACAGTTTGCCATACAAATAGGGAATAATGGGGGTATAGATGTTTCATGGCAGCTTATATTTTGTACAGGAATTCAGAGAGTAAACGTTAAAAATTTGGTGAAGATTGGTTAAAGATTTTAGGAGTTATAGGGGAATAAAATCAGCGTTTCACGGTTTTATGGTAGTCTAGATTTTCTGGAGGATCTCAGAGAATGTTTGAACGATTGGGCGAATATTAATCAAAGGATTTAGGAGTTATAGGGGGTGAAATCGGGGTATCCAGGTTTCAAGGTAGCCTATATTTTCCTCAGGATCCTAAAGAGTAGCTGAAAAATTTGGTGAAGATCGATGAAGGGTTTAGAAGTGCATAGGAAACAGACAGAGACATTATATTACATATATGGATTAAATATATATAATATAATGTTTGTATGTATATATTTTATTATTCACATCATAAAAATATTTAAAAAAATTATTTTATCAATAATTATTAAATACTTTATTAGTTATAAAACTATTTCTATTAAATAAAAATGACTGTTATGTATTTGTTTCGTGTGTTTGTGTGTCTGTTCGTAATATTTCTCGAAAACTAAACGTTATAGAAATGTGTTATTTTTATATTCGTGTTATTTGCTTGTTGTTCTGCACGTCTGACTGTAAAATTTCTCAAAACCTTAAAAAATTTGATTGAATAATGAGCAAAATGAGATTAAAACTTAAGAAAATTGCTCGAGAAATTTATATATTTAAGTTATATTTGTAAGAATTTTTTAACGTTTCTTGCTTACATAAATCCAAAATTACTTTAAATTTAACGAGTTTTTAGGACGAAGCGTGGATTCGAATCCCTTTTTTACTTATATATTTCTTATAGATTAGAATTTTGATTAAATCATAATATTTCAGGAATCTCAGATGTCTTCGTAACGCCATTCACACAAATTTGATGCTCACCTACTTACTGATTGATATTACTTGGATTATAACAGCAACAATACAAAGTAGCCATTCCTATGCTGCTAACGAGGTACACAATTATCTTATAAATTAATCACATAATTTAAATATAATTAAATATTAAATTTCATAATTCTTAGGTAACTTGTATCCTCATCTTATTATTAACTTATTTATTGGGAACAAACTTTTTCTGGATGTTCGTAGAGGGTCTATATTTATATATTCTAGCTGTGAAGACATTTTCTATAGAAGTAGTCAGGATACACGTTTACGCATTTATAGGGTGGGGTAAGTATGGTTTTTATTTATCTAGGATAAATAAAATTAACTAAGGATCAAATTATATGTGTAGGATAAGTAAAACTAATTTTTAAGATGATTTTTGTAGTGAGATGCTGGAGATCAGATTTTCATCTTCAGCATCCTGAGCTTATAATCGTCGAGATTATAACTCTTGATTATGAGGTTATAACTTCTGATTTTGTCAAAAATTATGATAAAATGTCTTAAGATAGTTTTTATTGTTAACATTAACTCTAAACTCTCAAAAAGTGTATACAATTCGAACGGATGCTGAGGGATCAAATTCTCATCTTTAGCATCCTGATGCTTCTTATTTACAAGTTCTATAAAAATGATAATAAAATATTTCTTAATGAAGACTGTTATTGCTCTGAAGACTTGATATTATAAAAATTAATAGGAATATTAATTAAAAAAAACGTTAGGAATGGAATCTTGAAAATTTTCTAATCGATTCTTTATAGTAAGATGTTAAATATAGTAATTTTCATCAGAATGATAAAAGTATAAAATTAATTATATTTAAATCTAGCATTTAACTCTTAAAACCATCATTAAAAAGCTTAATGTATGGCCAAAAATATCTTAGAATTAATATAATTTTTTATAACGTTGTTTATTATCATGGAACCTTTCCTGTAGATCGATAAGTAAAATAATAAGAATTAAATAACGCTAAGCAGATAGAAATGTCGTTAAATGTTTGAAGCGTTGTGAAATCGTTTAAGCAGTTAGTTATAAATAATATATTAAAACATATGTAAAAAATACTTCTTAATGGAAACTTGATTGATTTTTGTGGGAATACTTTTTTAGTTTATCTTCTAAATTCTAACATATGGCAACTGGTTGAATAGTTTTCTTTCATTTTCGAGAATAACTCTTGAAATGAAATTGCCAATTATCTCCTCTACAATGGAATCTACACTGGCTAAAACTTTATTTTGTACAATTTATTCTTAAGAAACCATGATAAAATTGATTTAAAATGCCTCTCTCCAATGAAAGAGGACGTAAAAATTTACGAGAAAATCAGGAAAAGTATGACTTGCTATTTGAATGACGTTACAACTTAAAGATTTATTGTCTCTCTTTGGTTATTATATAACACTTTTTAGATAAATTTAGAAAAATTTATAAAATATATGAAATATATATTTATAAAATATATAATGTAAAATTATAATTAATAGGAGAAATGTTAATTTAAACCGCATTAAACTAAAGCATTTTGCATGGCATTTCAACCACGAAGCACAAAATGAATGCTTTACTACCAACAGTTTGCCATACAAATATTTGTCATCTACTCAAATCGCCGTTGTATATCTTGCTCTTATCGATTTACTACTTTCTACTTCTGTTTTCTAACAGTTTTCAAACTCTCGTTCAACGAATTTTACTGAAAACACAACAAAAAAACAAACTTATGTGGCTAACTACTCTCTTTATTACATTTTTAGAAATGGCAAGAGTACTTTCTGTTAAAGAATTACAACATAAGACTTCCTTCTTACATAATTCAAATCATTCTACCAGAATTTTAACTGTTTTCCCAAATTTCCTTATAAAAAAATGATGCTTCACTCTTGCTACATCGATGCGGAAGCGTGGGAAATGCATCAAAAATTGGGTCCTTGACCTCTTAAACATCTTGTACGCTTTATGTCGTGCTGCATTATTATACAATTCAATAAACTTTATTGACAAGGGAAAAAATCCTTCGATATTTTTAAGGTTTTTGAAATATTCAGATGCAAATGTCGAGAATAGAATCAGTATATTGGATGTCAGATAAGAATGTGAAGCAGCATCTTTACAATGATTTGGTATATTTTTCTATTTTAAACGGGACTGACTCGAATAAATTCTCTTTACAATCTTTATTATCGCTGAAAAATAAAAATCGATAAACATTCGTATCTTATCTTTATACACTGCACACATTAACTAGATTTTTCAATTTTTCAATGTGTTGTTGCTTTTTATCTGAAAATATTATTTTTTAGCTGTGTAAATCTGACTTTTGCAACATTGTTTTAATTGTTAATTTCGTCATAACATTATATTAAAAAACACAACAAAAGAAAACAGTTGGAAACAATTAAGGGTTCGCGATCTATACATTGAGAATATAATAAATTGCATTATACTTATCAGCTTCTCAACCTCTAATAATCCTTCGTTTCATTTATCAAATTTATCAAGTTTAACGAAAAATATTAAAATATTTTATGTTAAATTTAGTAATATATATTAAAAATATATGAAATTTTATAAAATTAAATAATATTAATAATAAATAATGTTAAGATGGTGTTTCTCTAGGTTTATATATTTTTTAAATAATTTATATAATATATCAGACAAAGAATAAAGATATTTATTGAATAAATTTTGCTTAAAATACAATGAAAGATCAGTAAAAATCTTACAAAAATATTTATTTTTAAGGAACATAAGAAATTATAAGATTTATTTTGAATTATGATTATTATATAATTGATTTTTGCTAAACTTTACTTTTCAAAAACTTTTTTTGTAAATAAATATTAAAATTTAATATCTGAAAGTATATTTTTATTATTTAAAGTACGTTTGATCAAATATTTCGTCATATTTTATAGCTTAAATAATTTAATTCTTAGATTTAAAATCAATATTTCAAGGATGATTTTTATCTCATTTTTCAATGGGAAGCAATCATTGCTTTTGCTTTTTACATTACTCTGAACAACAGCCACGTAAAAACGGCCATTGTTTGGAGGTTTTTAAAGAATTTCAAAAGGAAACCTTCCTGAAAAGTTTAGTAGTAACCGTTCTTGGAAGGTGGCCCTACTTCTCTCCTCTTTCTCATCTCCACACACTTTTCCCTTTCTTCCTCCTAGACTTTTGAGTAGGCTATTTCCCAATTATACTGAAGTGAAGAGCAGAATCTATAAAATTACATCTGATAACAAATTATTTACTAGAAAAGTAATTAATATTATATATATATATATATATATATATTTCTTTCTTTATTCAGGTCTACCAGGTTTGTTTGTGGCCATATGGGCCACTGTTAAAGCCTACGTTTCAGGAAATAATAACCCAGACATGTTCATTTTGGAAGAGTAAGTAAAATTTCAATATTTCCTAATGTTAGAAACCATCGAAAATGCCTGGAAACGATCAAGTTTTTGAAATATTAAGCAACATTCAAAAAATTATTCTATGTTACAGCATTCCTTTAAGATATAATCTATACCTTTTGGCATTTTCTGCGAACATGCTTGATGTATCAATAATGGAAGCTTGAACGATTTACGTTTCAAGTGTGTAGATCTATCCGTTTCCATTGAATATATCTTTACAAAAATGTTTAAAATAACTCGAGTTTTGGTAAACAGTGATAAGGGAAACAGCATAAAGAAATTCTACATAAGAACGTGTGAAAATATAACAAAAACTCTTATAAAAATGTTCGAAATTTGATAAATTTGCCAGAAAATTCTTCAAATTTTTACAGTTTTTAACTTTATAACTGTTATTAAAACGTAAAATTAAATTAATTTATTAATATTACAGTAAGATTTAATGTTAATTGCTAAGAAATCATTTCAAGTAATACCTTTTTAGAACTCTTTCCAGAAAATATATAATATTTTCTATCAGAAAGGACATAAATTATCTTCCACATCATAAAAAGTAGCGAAAGCTTTAAAAAATCTACAGAATTTCTCGAATTTCAACCTTTAAATATTAATCTAAGCAACATTAAAGTGACATGTTACAAGTTTTACTCTCCACTTTCAACTTGTATTTTTTACCCTTCTGTACGGTTTAAAATTTTTCCAACTTTAGTTACATTGAATAATTTATATATTTTGTGAACTTGAACATATTTTATTGAGTTTTAGAGAGAGTTTAATCTATTTTTAAGATTAAAAAACATGCAGAAAATGTGTCGATACTTGTGGTTTATCGATCCAGTGATGGATGAGAAGCTGTTGTAGATGCTTAGTTTGCAGGGAAAAATAACATTTAACTATAATGAAAACTATTAAAAACAGTAATTAAGATGGGACATTATAAAAAATTAAAGATAAAATTTATCCATAAAGAGCTTTAAGTGTATAAAATGTAGTACAATTTGATATTCTAATTTACAGATGTCCATGGAGGATGCGAGATAATTACGAATATATCTTCGTTTGTCCCATAATTATCGTTTTACTGGTAAGTTACATGATAAGAAAAACACTTTTCTAATTACCTAATACACTTCTGAATTAAATTTTTCTTCTTTTTTCTAGGTGAATGTCTTCTTTTTGGGACAAATTATGTGGGTTCTCATCACTAAATTAAGATCTGCAACGTCTGCAGAGTCAAAACAGTACAGGTATTTTTATATTTTATGAGTAAGAATATAGGAAAGTTGGCTTTAAAAAATGCTTAGGTAAACAGAAAAGATCATATAAACAAATTTAAGTATGATTATCTGCATAAAAAATTGTTAGAATTTGTGATGAGTTGTATTGATTTCTACTACTTACCAGTAGAAAAAAATTTTTATTCTTAGTTTTGAGGTATAAAATATAAAGAATTATTATTATTTTATTATAAAATTTAACTGTAGAAACTGTATATTTTATAGGAAGGCTGCTAAAGCACTATTGGTGTTGATACCCCTTCTTGGAGTCACCTATATTTTAGTATTGGTTACACCTAGCCACAGAACAGCACGAGTTGTTTTCACTTATATACAAGCAGCTTTACTTTCAAGCCAGGCAATTATCTGGTTTCTTTTTATATATTAACACGCAAATTATCAATAACATCTTATTTATATAATTTCTTCTAACAGGGTTTCACTGTGGCAGTTCTTTATTGTTTCTTGAATGGAGAGGTAACACGAAGCTAATATTTAATATTAAATTGTTTGCACGTTTGTTATGAAATATGTCTCACTTCTAGGTGCAGAAATCCCTTAGATATCTGTGGAAAAAGTGGACGACGGGACACTCTGCTAGAGCTGGCTCTCAACGATATTCTATGACATATCGTTCTTCTCATTACGGAAGCGAGAATACGAAACTATACAGAAATCGTGCTATACACAACAGGGATAGCTGTATCAGCTTCACTACAACTACAAGTGTCAGTAATTGTCAAAGATACCTACCAGAAATTTGAATATCATCTCGATTCATCCCATTTTTCTCTGAAGATAATTGCTCACGTTTATGAACAAAGTCCCTTTGTCATCTGTAATCTTTATAAATGTAAATTATGTCGTTGTATTAAAGTATTTTTGCCTCCTACAGTCTTTAAAAATCGATTTATTTATTTATTTTTAACCATCTCTTTATCTTCTGAATGAGTAAAAGAGAAGAGCATTAAGTTATAAGGAAAAAAATTAATTAAAAATCGAACAGTTTGAGACATTTTGAATAATTAACTTTAACTGATTTTCCTATTTTGAATATTCTAGAGTAATTATAAATCGAACAAACCTTGACATTACAACGTTTGTTTAGAAGATAAATTACCACACGACGTGCATAGCATCACTATAAATCCTTCAATAACCTTTGAAGGATTTAGTTATATATTCTACAAATATAGAATTATTAACTCAAATATTCAAAATATTGAAAATATTACTCTTTTTTACAAGTTTTCAAGGTTAGAGTTATATAATTTATAAATTAGAAACTAATTACTGCTCGCGTAATTCGTGTAAATGTGATAAACTCATGAGAGGACATATTCCCAGAAGAAATAAGTAATATTTCTGTTGTATAATAAACGTTTACTAAATTTTAGAAATATTTTATGGAATATTACACTTTATAATGAACGTCGAATCGAAAGTTTTAGTGTTAAACGATGCGGAAGAGTAGAGATGCAGCATCACTTATCCGAAAAAGACGAAGATGCTGATAATTACAAATGAATATATTCTTTAAATTTATGCGAGTTTTTGATAAAAATATTCACTGAAATTTAAAAAAAAAATTATATTTTTAAAGATAATAAGAATGGAGACTAATTTTGTTTATTTTTTATTGCATTTTAAATGAGTTATTAAGAGAATTGCAGAGAAGTATAACGATTGGAAATATTCTAAACTATTTTAATGATTTGTTCTTTGATTTTTATTTGTAAATATTAAAAAATATCAATAAAAATAAATAAATTGTTTTATACGGCAATTTATTTAATTTTAATTTAGATAAAATATAATTTTGACGTCTCTATTATCAGTATAGAAACGGAAAATTATTAATTAATTCATCTACTAATAATGATAAACACGATTGTCCGTCCTATCGACTAAACTTAATGACTTCCCTTAATTGTNTATTATTAGTTTTATACTTGTTTATAGAGCAACAAAATATTTTTGTAGCAATACAAGAAAATATTTGTCGGAGTTACATCATTATTTGCGCTGATAAAGTTTAACAAGTAAAGGAAAAAAAATTTTTTTTAAATCTTTCTGCATAGCATCATTGAGCGATAGTGCCTAAACTAGTTTTGTCGTTTGTTAATTACATTTATTTTATTTTATTTAAAATATATGCTTTCGAGTTTAGTAGTATCTTGCCCCTGTACTGTACATCTTCCTGTTAACAGAAGAGCATGCCTTTCATCTATCTAACTCTGTTCTGGAGAATATTTTTGAATTGAAGTCATGTGACTTCAGATGTCGACTGGAAGTTCGTATATAGTTAATCGAGACCTCTTGCTCCTAAGGTTTCCCATATCTGGTCTTAATTACTATCTAACTCCTCGAGATTAAAGAAGGATAGAGAAACAGACAGTGGGAATTTATATGTCTGCAATTTAAAAATTGCAGTCCAACAAATGAATGCAATTCAAATGTATAAAGCAATCTGAAGTTTTATTTACCTTTAGTCAAATTCTTCTGCTTTTGATCTGTAACTGTTGAGACATTCTATATTCAACTGTTTTATAAGGGTTTTTTTAAATAATATATTACAGAATATTATCATTATTATTATATAATTTATGTGTTAACTGCAATGTTACTATAATAGAAAAAACATTTTATTAATTTAATGGTATAAAGTGCCACTCACCATAGGAAATATATATATGTTACCGCTAAAGCTCGAAAGTCGTTAATGTGTACATTACCTAGCTAATCTGCAGATTAACTAGGGTGATTCGTTAAAGTTGTGAAAATTGTTCCATTTCTCAAATTACCTAGATAATATGCAGAGTATCTAGGTAATCCGCACATTACCTACTAGACATTAGGTAAAGTGAAAATAAGATCTTTGCCACAAATAAATGTACCACAAATAGGTGTGCTTGTCGCAAAAACCAATTGCTACGAAATTCAAAGTGTCACCAATCTTTAGACTGCACTAATAAGTAAGCACAATTGGATAATGTTACCTATGGTGAGTAAAATGAGAAAGGAAACAGTGGGGACGCATATTCTAACCTAACCTAACCTATTCTAATAATTTGGTTGGTAATAATTATGGTAATTTATTAGAATGCATTAACTGCACAATTATATCATGCAATCACCAGAAAAAGTATGATAACTTTATTATTTTTCGTCTCCGATCCAAAAGTAGGGTATCGTTGAAGTCGTCTCGGTCCTCTCAGTTCATATAGATACTCAAAGTCCCGAAATTCCATATGTGGTTATCTATATAATAATTCCCCTAATTGTATTAATATTTTAAACCGTTTGATTTTTTGTACGTTTTTTAATTGGTTGATGATTGATTCTATCAACTAATTTGTTGATTGTTTGATTGTATTAACTTGATTCTTTAGATATCGAAAATTAAATAAAGAACATTATGTTAATTTAAGTGTATAGAAACGTTGCTGTTGTTCCAGCAAAGATCTTATTTTCACTTTACCGAGTGCGTAGTAGGTAATTTGCAGATTACCTAGATAATCTGCACATTACCTAGGTAATTTGAGAAATAGAACAATTTTAGCAACTTTAACGGATCCCCCTAGTTAATCTGCAGATTAGCTAGGTAATGTACACATTAACAACTTTCGAGCTTTAGCGGTAACATATATATGCAACTGCCATTCTGTTGCACACAGAGATTCACATGAGTGATCCAACCTCGAAAGATATCATGGGTGAAGGCCTGACTTTGATATAATGTCTGTATGCTTACGTTCTTCAAATAAATAAGGACTGGATCTGTTCATACGCAAAGGACACAATAAGTTGAAAGTCTGTCTACGTGTAGGTCTTTCATAGGCTCGCTTATCGCACAAAGAATCAAAAATCTGTTACATTACGCTACACGAAGCTGCTGGGGTTTGAGGGGTGGCTTATGGGATATACTATACGGCTAATAAATTTTAGAGTATATGAGTTTTATTATTATTTGGCTGAAATTTTCAAATTGCAGATCAGTACATTCCTATTGTCTTTCTGTCTGTCCTCAGCTTTCCGTTTCAAGATTACATAGGCTTAGGGGACGGAGGGTCCGATTAACTATAGGCCTATACATACTAACTTCCAGACTAGACCGGATTTCAATTCAAATTTTTTTCAAAGATGGAGTAAGATAAATGACCGGCATAACTGGATTGTTATCAGAAGTATGATGTATAGGGGTAAAACCATTAAAATCCAGACTAGATACGGAAGGTTTAGGGGCCAGAGACCCGATCAACTATATATGAACGTCCAGACCAAATCGAAAATCACGTGATTTTTTAAAATTAAAAAATTATTATAATTTCATTCCGGCATTGTGACGATACGACATTAAATAATTGCTCGTATTATTTAAGTTTCAATTTCTATTAATGTAGAAAATTTCCACTACAATATAGCAAGCAGAAAGAGCACGATAGCTCTATAACATTAATATACGCTACTATATTACTAATTTATCCCAAATAAAAGTATAAAGTATTCCTTCTATAACACTAATGTAAGTCTAGAGAGTTTAATACATACAAATATACAAGAATGACCCCGGCAATGAATTAAAAAATAAAATATCCATAAGATAAAGTAATAAAATGTATAAAAAATTCTACTCTGAAACAGATTTTTATGTTACTACAGAAGTATAAACATCTACTGTAGTTATATAGCTTACTTCTATAGCATATATAACAGTTACTGAATTGAAATCGTGTTCAGCATCTCAATAATAATTTACAAGATTGTCTATAGTAATGTTACTGCAATACTCCCAAGTCTTGTAATGTTCTCCTACGATAACGTATAGAATAAATATAACATTTTGTACTAAAATCAACATGTCTACTGCATCAATAATAATATTATTATTAAGCTTGTATAGTTATAATTATATCCTTTAATACTGTATTAGGGTATTAAAATTACTGAAACTTCATTAATATTTTTTCAGTTTAGTAACGCATAATTGTTATTTTCCTAGCTGTTTACTACATTTATAGCTGTTTATTATAAATATAGTAAAGTATCTTAATACTATAATAGTACTCTTTGTTTATATTTTATTAAAATTGTCTCCTAGATCTAAAGTTAATGCTCCAAAAAGCTTATCTAAATTAACTATTACAACTGCATTATTATACATTTATATCGGAATTTACTCGTATAGATAATTAAAAAATATATATTTTTTATAATAAAACTCGTATACAAAGTTTTAATATATAAAAATTTCACTAATAAAACTGATAATTTAAGATTTATACCACATAAGATATGAAATTTTAGCAAGAGATGCAACAATATAGAAAATTTAAGTAATAATAAATGTTAAATTTAAGAAAATATCATTAATTAATATTAATTAATTTTAAAATATTCCTTATTAAAAATGAGAAAATTTGATAATCTAATAGAAATCAAAGGAGGAGAAGGAGGAGGCAGATGACATCCGTTCGAAGATGAAAGAAGAAAAGAATATCATATCATACAGAACAACAGAATTCAATATTTTTCTTCGCTAAGAACACAAACAGTATAAAATTAATAATAATAAACTCTTATGTAATCCTTAATTAATTTATAAATGTTGATATTTTAAAAGATTTAATTATATTAACATATAAACTTCGTCATCTTTGGAATTGTGACGTGGAGAATTTCGCCTCATCGAACTATTAAAGAATGAAATATTGTATAAATAATCGTTGAAAAAACAAATTACGAAGTTGGAAATCTTCCAATAATTCCTTCTTCATCAAAAAATTGAGTTATTTATAACACACTTCACTGCTGTTATGTCTATTTAATAGCTAAAGTCCTATAAATCAACCCACTCAGAGTAGATAGAGAACTGTAGTAG